TATGAATGTCACCTGCTGCCAAATTCTGGGACCAAATGAGCTGGTTGCAGTAATCCTCCCTGCAAAGACAAACATGAAGGGAGCGCATGCCATAAAGTGAATTTAAAGCTGAAGATGGACTTGCTTTAAGCCCATTGACCAGTCTTCAGCCCCAGAATCTATATTTAGCATCAGAGGTAATCTCTGTAACGTGTAGGGGAATAAAAGTATCTCTGAGCATGCAGAAAGTGCACTTCTTGCATTGACAGAAGATGGTCTTTTTGCTGTGTACTGTTAGGGACAGAGGGAAAATGTTTTCCAGGTCAGAGGGCAGTTTTCTGTGGGAGTTACAAATGTTGGCAGAGCAAGAGGTAGGATCTCATGGATCTGTCCCGAAAACAGCCCTTAGGGAAAACATTGCTATTTGCAGACTGGAACTGCAGGATCTAATCCTCTGCACTGCTTACACATTTTTTTACGTACTTACTGGTGTTTGTATTTGTGGGAAATGACTTGGAATCCAAATGTATTTGGGCACACTTTGATCATACAGGAGGGTCCCTTTTCTAATTTCTCCAGAAACAGACAGGTGGTGGGTCCAAAGTAGAGCCCCTTGAGGGTCATCATTTCTTAACCTGGCAAATTATGGCTAGCCCAGCCATAGGGGTGTAAAATGAGGTTAACAAGGAGTGAATTACTATCATTTGGCTTTGGGTATCCGATCACCTTTGTTTAAATTCTTAAATAGGGTTAAGCAGTCAGCAAATCACTTCCTGGTCAGAGTAGCCCCCTCTCAGGGCTATTTTTTTGCGGCAGTACCCACCAGAACTGTGTACTAGCGCCTTTTGGGGGAGGTTTCCCAAATCCTGAGTGAGAACTGGTAGAAATCAGCACAACTTTATATATAAGTCCTGGCACACTTTTTAAAAAAGCATTGCCCCTTATTTTTTCCAGAGTGGTCTTGACAAAAACAAACCGGACTTCTCTGTCAAACAATTAATCTGTGTTTTTCAAAAGGATTACTTTCCCCCTGAAAACATCTTTGCGGCCTGCAGAACAGGGGTTGCCAACTGACCTCAGAGAACCCACTGGTGTGGCATGTTCCTATGCCCTTATTAACAGCAGCATGGTCTGCCACGATCAACAGGTGAAACTTTTCACCGTGTGGAGGGTCAGTGGGGGCACCTGCTGATGCCTGTGTGTGGAACTGCTCGTAAAAGTTTAGCTGCAGCGAGCAATTGAGAAGTTGGCACCCCCTTGCCATAGGGCTGGCAGCCTTGGGGGGGGGGGGGGCGGGATCTCCCGCTTTTACCACTGATCCCCAGCCGACAGAGATCAGCTCCCCTGGAGAAAATGGCTGCTTTGAAGGGTGGACTCTGTGGCATTGGGCCATGCTGAGGCCCCTCCCCTCCCCAAACCACGCCCTCTCCTGGCTCCACCCCCAAAGTCTCCAGGTATTTTCCAACCCAGACTTGGCAACCCTAAGGGGGTGGGCTCTGTGGCATTATACCCCACTGGGGCCCTCCCCTCCCCAAACCCTGCTCTCCCCGGCTGCACCCCCAAATCTCCATGAACTTCCCAGCCCAGAGTTGGCAAACTTTCATAAGAGCCAAGAACCCTCAAGTATGTATATATTTTCTTTTTAAAAAGTACAAAGGCAGACCTCATTTGAGATCAAACAGTTTTGTCTTTGTAACAGAAATCCTGAGCCAACTGTAACAAGAGTCCCTTCGAAAGAGAAGAGCCCTTGAAACTTGAACTGTCCCCTGCGGCACGTTTGAAGGAGAGTCCAAGAGGCTTAGACCCTCTAAGAGCCGGCCTCTTAGAGGGTCTAAGCCTGGCCTGGCCTTCCCCTTGAGTCATCGGGTGCCTGCGGGCATGAAACTCTAAGCCTTGCCCGGCCTCTCCTCCTTTGTGGCTGGTAATTCAGGTCTTCACGCGCTGCGTTCCCTGGTGAACCTGTGCCTGGACACGACCCAAGTCAGGAGCGGCTCATCTTCCAGGAATCTGTGGCACGACAGGATTGCCGTCTCAGAAAAAGCTGCTCCAAACTCACAGGCTGAGACACCTCAGAGTTCCTGGGAAGCCGTCCCACGGAAGGGAAACCGGAGCAGGAGGAGTAAACGCATCTGCCCTGGAGCGCTCCCGGGTCAGAAAGTACAGCCGTGGGAAGAGAGCAGGGAAAGGTTGCCGAAAAGCCGTCTTTCTCTTCATGTCCTCACTCTGATGATGTCATTTCCAAAAGGAAAACGGTCAAGGCCAGGTCCTTACCCCCAGACGATGACATCTGCTATGGAGAAGGGTGTCACCTGTTTGTTCTCTTGCAAAGTCCTGTGCTCGTAGCAGTTGTGCGCGAGGCGCAATTTCATGGTGGTGCACTGCCGGTGCAGTGGTGAGGGAAAGCTGCCCTGGCTGAGTTTCTGCCTGCTTTTGTCAGCTGATAAAAGGTATCCAGGAGGTGCGTGAGAGGCTCCTCCTCTATGTCTTGTGTCTTTTCAGGCAGACCCTTAGCAGTTCCAGTATGGTGTAGTGGTTAAGAGTGTTGGATTAGGACCTGGAAGACCCAGGTTCGAATCCCCACTCGTGCCATGGAAGCTTGCTGGGCCAGTCAGACTCTCTCAGCCTAACCTACCTCACAGGATTGTTGTGAGGATAAAATGGAGGCGAGGGGCAGGGCTGCTGAGAGCCACCATGGGCCCCCGGACAAAGATTCCATGTGGGCCCCTCCATATGACCCCGATCAAACTAGATATTCTGGCAAAACAAATCCCTTGGCTGGCTGTTAGCATGCATCTATAATAATAAAAAAGGATCCCCGTGTCCATCTGTCTGTCCATTTGTGGCAGGCACAACTCTTCAGAAAATCCAGCTTCCGGATGATCATGGGAATTCCAGGGCCCAAAATGAAAGGAACTGGAATATCTTTGCCCAGGTTATCTCCAGACCCCCATGCTGTTGGCAATGGCCGATGGGCGCTAAGGTTGTGTAGTGGTTAAAATGTCAGGCGAGGAACAGGGAACTCCTGGTTCAAATCCCCACTGGAAGCTCGCTGGGTGACCTTGGGCCCATCACTCCCTTTCAGCCTAACCTACCTCACAGGGTTGTTGTGAGGATAAACCAGAGGACAGGAGAACAATGAAAGTTGCTTTGGGGGTCCCCCTTGGGGATAAAGGTGGACTATAAAGTAAATAAATAGATTCTATCTTCTGTTCATCGTTTGTTACCACTGATGCAGATTAACATTTATTATCATGCATGTTAAGGGGGGAGGGGAATCATCCTTTTACTACTTTAATAGATTATGGCAGTGATGGCGAACTTTTTGAGACCAAGTGCCCAAACTGTGACCCAAAACCCACTTATTTATCGCAAAGTGCCAACACGGCAATTTACTTTAGAAAAAACAACTCATACATTAACTTAAGATGATCCAAACAAAGTAAGGAAAGCAATCCCAAATGCTTTCATTTACTTAAAATTATTTGGCAGAGAATTCGACACTTTAATGATGGTCTGGGCCTGGCTGGGGCAATGGCACCCGTGCCCACAGAGAGGGCTCTGAGTGCCACCTCTGGCACCGGTGCCATGGGTTCGCCACCACCAGATTATGGGGAAATATTAACTCCCCCTTTTGTCCATAATATTAACAGAGGTGCTTCTGAACTACTACTCCTAAATACGTTCTAAGTTGCCAAGCAGGCTGAGTGGCATTAATACTGAAAAATAAAGGGGGGAGGGAGAAAAATTAGAAAGTGGGATAGGGCTCTGTTCTTGTTTTTTGCTGCCGTACATTAACGAGGCTGCCCTGGCAAGATCTGGCCTAAAGGCAGAAGGAAACGGTAGACTTTATAGGAGGCTCTGTCCCAGCTGGTCTTGGCTGACGACAGGTTTACCGAAATCTCATCAGCAAACGGGTTCCCTCCGCCCCCAGGTAAACTGCGGAAAGGTCGAGGAGCTCTTTGCTGTGCTCTGCCTTTCCTGCTCCCTTCGTCAGAACTGCACCAGGGTGGTTTTTTTTTTTTTTAATGTATTCCATGTCAATACAGCCACGTCGCTGGCTTCAGGGCCCTCCAGCTGCCTTATGAGAGGACTGAGGGAAAGGACCCAAGAGACAAGCTAATCCTGTTTGAACAGGCTGAGATTCTCGAGTTTAAGGAGGAGTTCCACATGAAATCATTCTCTCTCTCTCTCTCTCTCTCTCTGCCAGAAATGCCATGTTAGTTCAGTAAAGGTGTATGTGGGGGCATAGAACTGTTAACTGTTTTAAAGCAGAGTTCTGCCGTCCCTTGCGGTATATAACCAATAACTTGTTAAATTCCTCGCCTCATCCACCAAACCACTGAGCCCTTCTGAAGAAGAGACAAATGTATTGTGTGTGTTGTGAAAAGAAGGTGTTGGCGTGACTCACTCGAGAAGAAGGAGAGGGGGGAAATAGTAAAAACCACCTCCGATTCCCCGAGAGGGGCGAAATAGTAAAAACCACCTCCGATTCCCCAGGTTCCCTCTGTTACAGCAGCACGTAATCCAGCACAGTTATTGGTTAACATTGCCTGACTGAGCACTTGCAACCCACATCAGAACTAAAATCAATTTGAATGAAGTTTGAGTCCTGTGGCACCTTTCAGACAAACAAAATTTTATTCGAGGTATAAGCTTATGTGTGCATGCAGATGAAAGCTCCTACCCAGAATTAAACTTCGTTGGTCTTAAAGATGCCACTGGACTCAAACTTTGTTCTGCTGCTTCAGACCAGCACGCCTACTCCACCCGGCTCTGAAACCAGCGTGCTCACTGCTCCTGGTGGTGTGGTGGGCCGGGCCGTCTCACATGGTGGTCTCTCGGGAAGCTGAGAGCATCAGCACTTTGCCTTGGGCTTCTCTTCTGGGGAGCATTCCAGCTCTGGGGAGGAAAGAGGCTGGCTGGATAGCAGCACAGAACGGGCAGCCAATCAGCGGCGAAGGATACCCTTTGGGTTGCCCTGTGGTTTTACCTTGGCTTTGAGATGCAGTAAGGCCTGGTACCTTTTTGCTGCACGGAAATGCAGCTCGGTTTTTTGCACGAAAAGAATAGTGCTCAATCTTGTGCCGTTACACCAGAATGTTTGATGCACACTTTTAATACAGTGCTTTTTCTTCTCTTCCCATTTTCTACTGCTTCCCTGCCGGCTCCGTCCCCTACAGTTGCAGAAAAGACCAGCGCTCAGAATGGTAAGAAACCTCTGATTGTTACACAAATCACTGAAAGTCCTTTCAGTTTCTTAGCAAGCCCTCCCCACCCCGAGTACCATTATTTAGGCTCCAGTAGCAATGCTTTAGCCATCAATGTTTCCTGTTACCAAAGGAAACCCTGGAGCAGGGGATGGCAGCTTGTTCAGCCTCAGTGCCAAAAAGCCTGGAATGTCAACCTCTGAAGAAGCTGGTGTGTTGGCAAGCAAGGTGTTTGTGTGTGGGGGGGCGTTGGGGGTTGCATTTTGCCAGTCACGCTGGAGGACAGGCAAGTCGACTCTTAGTGTCCGTCAGTCTTTATTACAGCCCACAGGCCATTCATAGGCAGAATAAAGCAGATAAAAACACTAATATAAAATTAATTACTACATAAAACCCCTTGAAACGTCAGTTGTCTTAAGAAAGGGCTAGAATCTGAGAGTGTAGGAGCTGCGGTGGCTCAAGTGGTTAAGACGCTGAACTGCAGGCTATGGAAGGTCGGTAGTTCAGCAGTTCGAGACCTGGGTGCCGCATAACGGAGTGGGCTCCCGTCTCTAGTTCCAGCTCCTGCCAACCTAGCAGTTCAAAAGCAAGAAATTGCAAGCAGATAAATAGGGACCACTTCAGTGGGACGGTAACAGCGTTCCGTGTGCCTTGGTGTTTAGTCATGCCGGCCACATGACCACGGAAACGTTTTCGGACATCGCTGGCTCTTCGGCTTTGAAACGGAGATGAGCACCGCAATCCTAGAGTCGGATTCGACTGGCTTTCGAGCAAGGGAACCTTTACCTTTACTAGAATCTGAGTAAATTATGCACTGGACATTATCTCAGCTTGTTATTTTCATTGCAGAACATAGAAACTTTTCCCCCCACTGTACAAAGCTCTTTATTGACAGTCTGTCTCTCTTATCTGCAGTATTATGTGGGGTGCCTGCCCTTGGGCGGATCTTGGGTGGTACAGATGCTCAGAGAGGACAGTGGCCCTGGCAGGTCGGCCTCAGTATCCACAGTAAACATCATGTCTGTGGCGGTACCCTCATCACCCCCGAGTGGGTGATCACGGCAGCCCACTGCTTTCCCAGGTAAGTGTCCCCCTCGCACAAGGCTGCAGGTATTTGAGGGTAGGGGTGGGCAAGGGAGGGTACCTTTTGGAAGCATCACCAGTGTATATTAAATATTAAATAACTGGCGATGGGTTCAAGTTCCAGAGCTAGTTTTCAATCTGGTGAGGCCCAAGGACAGAGTAGGATACAGAGATAAATGTTTCACCCTCTCCTGTGTCACTAGATCCTGAGGTCGTAATAATCATGCTTAGCTTTGTTTAGCACTCCTGACTAGTGCTCAAAGCCCTTCATGTATGTAATCGTTCCAAACCAGCCCTGTAAGGTAGGTCAATTAGTATTATTCCCGCATTGCAGAGAGGGTGCTGAGGCTGAGGGAGGGCGGCTCACTTAAGACTGACTCACGAGTCAAGAAGGGAGGGGGATTCAGCCCAGAGATTCCCTGATGGATAGTTGGATCCAATGTTCCCTCTAAGCTGTGGAGTCTTGTGAGCAAAAATTCTACTTTGTGAGCTACTGGCATTAAAGTTGTGAGCGAGTGATTTGGCTGCTGTATAAATTAGCTTGCTCTGGAGCCATCCTCCCTGAGTGAAGAAAAAAAGTGTGAGTCGGAGGCTAAAAAACTGTGAGCTAGTTCACACCAACTCAGCTTAGAGGGAACACTGCTCTGGAGCCATCCTTCCTGAGCTAAGACAGAAATGCGTGAGCCGGAGGCTAAAAAACTATGAGCTAGCTCACACTAACTCAGCTTAGAGGGAACACTGCTTTTTGATCACTGTGCTGTACCAGATCTCAGTGAAGCTGAGTGCCCAAGGAAAGGACACCTTCGTGTAACACGTAGTTAACTTGTAGAATTCACCACCCCAAGATGTCTTGAAAAAATATCATGCAGGATCAGGTCTGCCCTCAGCTAGGATACATAAATGTAACCTCCGTGTCCAAAGGCAGCATGCACAGCTACTGCCTTCAAGGGCATATTTGTGTGCTTCTAAGCGAGGGATAGTTTCTGCTGAAGACAGGTTGCTAGATAGGATGGTTCTGTCTCTTTGCTTCTCAGTGACCTGTCCCTTTTGCTTGTAGTCAATGTATTTCAGTGTGTGGATTTCTCTTTCTGCAGCGTGAACAAGATTGAAATTTACGACGTGACCCTGGGGGCCTTCCAGCTCAAAAACCCCGCGGGGGACATGGTAGTGAGGCAGGTGGAGAGAGTCATCAAGCATCCTGACTATACCGAGGATGACGGGTCTAAAGGGGACATCGCCCTGGTGAAGCTCAAGCAGCCCGTCACGTACAGCCGCACCATCCGGCCCATCTGTCTCCCCGCCTCTTCCGTCAACTTCCCCGCCGGCATGAAGTGCACCATCACTGGCTGGGGCAACGTGCTCACATTGAGTAAGGAGGGATATTTCACCCGGGGGGGCCTTAATCTTTCAGGTTGATTCAGCAGTTCTTGCCCTAGCTCTGTGACACAAAACCAGTGCCCGTTCCAGGTTTCTGGAGGCCCTGGGCAGACAGTGCCCTTCTGCCCACCCCCCCCCAGGCCCCCCTCCTGCCTCCCCTTCCACCCATCCACGTGTGTGTGCTCCCGCCTGACTGCAAATCCTTCCCTTGCTCACTGCCTGCGCTCACAGCCGGCTGCATCACCTTCATGCCCCTTTCCCAACAGCACTGGCTGGTGCCTGCAGCTACCAGGAGCGCCATCCTTGTGCATCACTGGCATGCCCTTCCCCATCACCAATGGGAAGCTGGGGGCGTGGGTGGTGAAATGTTTGCAAGCAGGGAAAGGCACAAGGACGGGTGACAGGGGAGGTGGACAGGTGGGGGGATCTGTGACATTGGGTCCCACCAGAAGCTTTGGACCCTGCCAGCTGCCCCGGTTCGGGAGATACTGACACCGGCCCTGATACGAACCACATTTGGGATGGAAGGGACCTCATACTGTAAGACGTTTCCCCAAGACGGCCTCTATGACGACTTCAGCCCATTTCATTCCCCACTCCTCCACTTGCACCTGGCTGGACGACCTTGGGCAAGCCGTAGTTCGGTGGGGGGTGAAATGTTTGCAAGCAGGGAAAGGCACAGGGGAGGTGGACAGGTGGGGGGATCTGTGACATTGGGTCCCACCAGAAGCTTTGGACCCTGCCAGCTGCCCCGGTTCGGGAGATACTGACACCGGCCCTGATACGAACCACATTTGGGATGGAAGGGACCTCATACTGTACTCACTAGGGCTCAGCTCCAGGCTCTGACGACTTCAGCCCATTTCAAATGATAACAGGGGGTGCCTTTTGCGGATGTGCGGTGCACCCTGTCTCTCTCACACTTGCACAGAAAGCTACTGCCGCCACCCACCGCCCTGTCCCGCTTCTAATAAATCCGTGGTGTGGCCTGTATTTGGAATGCCGTCTGCAGTTCTAAATGAGTGCGGCACCCCTCCTTCCAACCCCCCGGCCCACTAACCCTGGATCGTTCTCTTCCATTCAGCCAGCCTCCCTCCACCCATGACCCTGCAGCAGCTAGAGGTGCCCATTATCGGGACTGACACCTGCCGCTGCCTATACGGCTTGAACCCCGATCCCGAGGACCCCCAAATCATCCACAACGACATGCTGTGCGCTGGCCACGCCGAAGGCAAGAAGGACGCCTGTCAGGTAAGGCCGCATGGAGGGGAGGCGGGTGGGCGTCCTTGGTCATTAGGGGAAGGAGGGAGGGGTAGAGTGAGTGAATGGAAAGAGCGGAACCTTTTGTGAAACATGGGCTGCTTGCTCATTTCAGTTGCGTTTGAACTTCCCGGTAGATCGGTGCCCCGTTCTGACTAGGGCTCGTTAGAACAATTTTGCCCTGACTTGGCTAGCCCGATCTTGTCAGGTCTCGGAAGCTAAGCAGGGTCTGCCCTGGTCAGTGTCTGGATATGGGAGATCACCAGGGAGGCAGGTCGTGGCAGACCACCTCTGAACATCTCTTGCCTTGAAAACCCCCATGGAGTCAGCATAAGTCGGCTTGTGACTTGACATCACTGACCACGGCCACCACCGCAGGAGCATTTGGGGGTGTGTGTTTTTAACAGCCACCCAAATGTCCTGGTAAAGCACTTATAAAACATGTGCTGAAATGTCCCTTTGCTGCTCAAATTATGGTGTCTCAGGGCTTTTTTGTAGAAAAAGCCCAGCAGGAACTCATTAGCATAATAGGCCACACCCAGCAGCAGAAACTCATTAGCATATTAGGCCACACCCCTGACAGCACAGCTCATTAGCACATTAGGCCACACCCCCATGTTACCAGAAGTGTGGTCATCCAGCCACACCCATCTTTTGCTTCTTATTCTGTTTACCTTGTTTGTTGTCCAAACCCAGGGCTTTTTTGTAGCAGGAACTCCTTTGCATGTTAGGCCACACACCCCTAATGTAGCCAATCCTAATGAGTTTCTGCTGTTGGGTGTGGCCTATTATGCTAATGAGTTCCTGCTGGGCGTGGCCAACTTGGAAGCCAGCCGGAACTCCGTTCCTGTGCGTTCCTGCCCAAAAATAGCCCTGGACTGTCTGTTATAAGTTACAGCAGTGGCAAGGAAGCCATTTTCTGTGGGTTTATCCCACAGTGCTGCTGAAATGCTTAGATGCTTCCAGCTGTGGAGGCTGGGCTGGTCACACAAGTCCTGATCGCAAAATCCTCACCTCTGATCGTGGCTAGCAATGGTTTTGGGTTGAGGTTGACACCACTCGTGAGGTTGCGGGTTTTTAAATGTTCAAGCAACTCCACAGTCATGGTCACAGAGCAGCTTCCCTACCGGACCGAGAAGTGCAAGAACACTAATCCAGGTGTAATGATTTTGTGATGACTTCCCCAGATGCTGGCCTCCTTGACTGATATTTGTCACCTTTCTAGAGCTCAGTGTCGTTCCCTGGCCTCTCAAACCCCCTCTTCAACATCTTCCAAAACCCAAGCCCCCTCGCCACCAGTGTCCCCTCTGAGTTAGTGTGAACTAGCTCACAGTTTTTTAGCCGCTGGCTCACACATATTTGCCTTAGCTCAGGAAAAATGGCTCCAGAGCAAACTAATTTACGCAGCAGCCAAATTGCTCGCTCACAACTTTAATGCCAGTCATTCACAAAGTAGAATTTTTGCTCACAAGACTCTACAGCTTAGAGGGACCGTTGCCACGTGTGCCTTTCCTTCCTAATTCCTGCCGTTTTTCTAGGGTGACTCTGGAGGACCCCTGTCCTGCCGCGTAGGCAATTCCTGGTTGCTGGCCGGGGTTGTAAGCTGGGGAGATGCATGTGGGGCCCCCAACAGGCCTGGGGTCTATATCCGCACCTCGATCTACACTGACTGGATTAAGGAGAACATTCCACAGATGGAGTTCAGCCAAGCGACTGTTGATATGAAGCCCGTGTCCGAGGAGGGCCTGTGCTCCAATGCTACTGCTGGCCAGCCGGGCCGTTACGACGAGATGCAGCCTCCGGCGGGCTGGCCCCGTCCCATCACCCCTAAACCACCTTCCGGGAACAGCGCCACCTCCTGGGCCTGCACTGCGTCCCTGCCCCTTCTGTCTCTCCTCCTCCTGAGCCTCTGTTACCTCCTGTAAATTGCACTTCAGATCGGGTCAGTAAGCCCACCTGCCAAAGGATTGTATAGGGAAGAGGGTTGCTTCTTGACTACCACTTCCACGCCCACACGCCAGTAGGATGGTCACATTATTTCAGTCAGTCACATCTCAGAACTTTGCTTTGCCTTCTGAAAGCAGGTGATGGTGTCGGATAGACTCTGATCTTATTTTACAAGGTGGCGGCCTGGTGCGTAAGCATAAGCCCCGTCCAGGATGTGAGTTTCGGTCCGATGTCTGCCTTGGGCCAGTGCCATTAAGCATGGTCCGCTTGATTGACATCACCCTTTGGTTGCTTCTAGCCAGTTAATTCGTAACAGCCCACTGCTTTAAAAAGGTTGTGTTGTGGCTTGAGGCAACAGCGTTAGGCCCAAAGCGGCGGCCACCCTGCAGCCTCACAGGGAAGGACAGACTCCCTTCAAACTAGGAAACTCAGTCCCGCCTCCTCCTCGTGCCAATTCCCAGTTCTCATCCCTTCCCTTGTGTCTGAATTTACTGCTTGGTATCCCATGCCAGTCTCCTGCCACTCTTTCTCACATAAATCCTTCAACCTTGAGACTTTGATTATTTCCACCCGTTCCCTTCGTGTTTTCCACCAGCCTTCTCCTGGCCTGCGAGGTCAGACCCTCTCCTGTTGCTGCTGGCCCTGGCTCTTTGTGGAAATTATTTCATCTACCTCCGGAACCTTCCCAGGGGCTCTTGCTGCTTCCTTTCAGTTCAGCCTAACACTGTCCATGTTGCTTCTACTATCCCATCGTGGTTTAGCTGACCTCACTCCAGGGGATGAGCTGGGCCTTCCTCACCGCTCTCTCTCTGTTCTTCAGTTCCATTCTCACCCTACCTCAACCCTACTGTTGATCTCAATCCTCCCCTCCCTGTGCCCCCTTTTCTAGGGCGACTCCGGGGGACCCTTGTCTTGTCGTGTAAACAATACTTGGCTGCTGGCTGGGGTAGTGAGCTGGGGGGATTCGTGTGGGCAGCCCAACCGTCCTGGTGTCTACGCTCAAGTTTCCTCCTATGTGGACTGGATTCAGAAAAATGTCCCAGAAGTGGCTGCCACTGCCGTGACTGTGGAAGAAGAGCCAGTCTCTGAGGAGGGAGTGTGTTCAACAGCACCCTTTTTGCTCTCGCCTTCTCGGATTTTGCTCGCTTGCGTGGCCTTATTGTATGTCTTTGGGGATGGTTAAGAAGCTGCCATTTTGCCCATGCCTCCTGCCAGCCCAGGGACTGAAAGTGGAGTTGGAGAAGGAGACTGTTACATTTTCATTCCTGGACAAGGCCCTTCTTCCTGCGGCGGTCGCAGCCTTATTTTTCTACTGACTGACGTAGATGTTTGAAGCTGGACATTGTGACTTCATTTTATGCTTCAGTGCTGACCAATAAATCCCTCCGTTGATCGTTAGGCTTTCTGGGATGCACGTATGGATGTGGCAGAACTCTGGAGACTTATGGTATCAGCACAACACCCAACAGCTGTTCCCTTTGAATGAACTGTTCCAGGCCTTATTTATGATGCAATGTGACTTAAATGTGAAATGGGCTGGACAAAGATCTCTTGGCACGCACAGGCCAGCAAGACGTAGATGGAGAGAGCTTCTACCCCATATGGACAAAAGGGTAAAAGGTGGCGGCACCCTGTTCTGTGAAAACCCAAAGCTTGCCTTCCCTGGGAACTGGCATTTTAAAACAATCTTGTATTTGCACATTTTTATCACTTAAACCAAATCCACGTATTTGAACATCTCTTTCTTGATCAAATGGGAAAGAGAGCTTTCGATGCTACTCTCGTGATGAAGGGTTTTTAATAAACGTAATGATAGTTGTGGGTCAAAGAAAGCTGTGTTACTTAAAAACAACCCTGGTGACTTCATGAAGTTGTACCAGATGGCGTGGCTGAATCTACGAGGGAGGGACAAATGCGGCAGTAGGAAAATTTGAGTGGTGTCCTGCATCTGCTTCTGAGCCATGTGAATGCACATAAATTTATCTAACTTCACGTGGGGTGAAACAGATTCTCTGCGGGAGCACGGAGTGTAGTGGCAGAAAGGGAAGCTAAACAGAACAAGGAAAGATCGTTCTGGGTCAGCCCACCTGGGCCCAGACTCCCATATGTATTAGGTTTGCTTGGTTAAAACAGAGCAGGCACTGATCTCTTTGGAAGCTGCACGGGGGCTTGACTTTCGCCTGACGCTGCCTCTCCTGTGCTGCAGGAACATTAAGAGCCCTGCTGGATCAGACCAATAGACCATCTAGCCCAGCATCCTGTCTCACGGAGCGGCCAGCCAGTTACTCTGGAGGGCCGACAATAAGGCATAGAAAGGCTGAGGCCTTCCCCTGAGGTTGCCTCCCGGCATTTGGATTCAGAGGTTTACGGCCTCCATTTAGTCACCTGATTAACAGCCACTGATAGACCTCTCCTGTGTGAATCTGCTGAAGAAGCTGCCCAGGTGGACTTACATTTCCACCCCCCTAGACCTTCAGTGAAGTGAGGCTGCTTCTCAAGGGTCCCTATTTTTGCTTTCTGGAATAGTAAACAGAAATACGTGTGTGTAGAGGTGAAAGGCAATAACAGCTTGGGTGGGAACGTAGCAAAACTACATTCTCCTCAGTGAAGAGGCACCTCTGTTTGCTTCCTCCTGATCAAACAGAACAGGCAGTGAAGTGTAATGTTGGCTAACTTACAGCAGGCTTTTAGTACACGGGCTCAGGATTACAAAAAATCTGAGCCCTGCATGCACAAGCTCAGGATTCTGCCGTTCCTCTTCTGGCAGACTCCTTTCCTGAGCACCGCACACACACCCCGACAGTTCCCCATTTCTGGCCGTCTCCCACATTCAAGGTTCTTTACTATGCCAGCAGTAGTAAAGATGCCGCCATTCAGTACACACCAGACCAGACTTCTGTCTTTTTTTTAATTAAAATATTTCTCAAGGTAACAGAAAACACACTGTGTACATGGAGCGTGAGCCTACTAGCTGTAGCCAAACGACTATGTGGCTATGTCTTCCTCTCACATCTGGTGCAGGCCTCAGCCCTGCCAGCAGGTACCAGGTATGCAAGGAGGTGGCTGCAGGAAGATGAGAGGCAGCCTCCTTCCTCTTCCCCTGACGGGGGCCAGGGGACCTGCTGGCCTCTCCCCTCTCACGGAGCACCAACAGAAACAGATTCCGCCAATGGAGGGAGGGGGCAGAGAAAGAGAACCATGTCACGGTACACCCTGTTCAAAAGGAAAACTTAGCACGAAGCACCTGCCTTCGAAGTCTCACCCCCCAAATGTCCCCTCCGTGACAGAAGGTCTCTTCAGTTCAAAGTGGACACTCTCCAAGGGTGGGGCAGCTCGCAGCTTGCTTAGAAACCCGCCATTCCTGGCAGAGCCTTAAACGCAGCTTGGGCAGCTACTGAAGGGGAGGGGAGCTGCAGTCCCTCCAGAGTCCGGCTCCCCTCTGGCTCGACCTTAAACTCAAGAGCAAGGAACTGTCCGTGGTAACTGCCCCCATCCTCTTTTCCCAAAGCGGCCAGAGGCGGATGATGCAGGGAAGGGACCAGGAGCCAGAACTTTAACGGCTTCTGCCCCTTTAGCATCCATCTGCTGGGAAGGGGGGGGGGGAGAGGATGACAGCACGACATGCACAGAGCAGAAGAAGCCACCAGCCATTTCAGCTCTCTGAAACTGACGGGTTGGGGGACACGGTTCTTCCACCTGCAGGGTCTTACGAGCCCCTCAAACACTGGGGCCGCCACCCACCCGTTTTCTGCGGACGGCTTCCCAGCACCCTTCCCTCTCTATAACCTGCCTGCCACAGTACGCAGAGGCAGCCTAAATGGAGTGAGAGATTAAAAGAGGGGCAGCATTCCTTCCCCCTGCTGCTTCAGAGGGTGGATCCCAACCATAACATTCTGGGGGGGGGAGGAGAAGGGGGCCTTACAGGCTGAAGTGTGATGGGGAGGAGTGGCAGCACGTTCCCCTGAAAGAGCCAATGAGCAACAGTCCTCGAGAGGAGGTGCTGCAGCCGTGGAGAACTCACCCTCCCTCCCCGCTATTTCCTCCAATCCATCTGCTCAAAGCACATCCAATCAATGCAAGTCCAACACAAAATGTCTGGCCTTCGACCATCTCTTAAAATGAAAGGTGGACGTGAACCGAGGGGGAGCTTCTCCCATTCTTCTTGTCTCTTGCTCCCTCACTTCTTGGAAATCTTGGCTTGTTTGTGTTTGGGAGGTGCCCATCTCAGGCAGAGGGAATCCACTGGGGAAGAAAAGAGGACATAAGAACATAAGAGCCGTCAATGTTGGATCAGGCCAAAGGCCCATTTAGTCCAACACTGTCACACAGTGGCCAGAAATACCAGTGCCATCAGGAGGTCCACCAGTGGGGCCAGGACATTAGAAGCCCTCCCACTGTTAACCCCCCCCCAAGCACCAAGACAGAGCCTCACTTGCCCCAGAGCCCCTATCTATACCTTGTGGCTAATAGCCACTGATGGACCTCTGACCATATGCTAATTCCCTTTTGAAGCCGTCCATGCTCGTAGCCGCCACCACCTCCTGTCAAAAGGGGTCCCGGGGGGGGGGGGAGAGACAGGCAAAGTCATCCCCAGCTCCAGCTTAGAGGCAGTGCTGGCAGCCCTATCTCAGGAGAGAGAAGCACCTCAGAGAAAGTCTCTCAAAAGGCCATCAGGGTTGGGAGGAGGCTGGGAGGATGCTCTGAGGGCAGGAAACTCAAGGTCAGTTTCAGTGGGACTATCAGAGCCGCCACAAGCAAGGAGCACTTAACCCCCGTCTGTCCAGGCAAGTTCTTGTCTGGGCTGCACTTCTTGTTACAAGTGCCCTAAAGGCGCTTGCATTTTAAGAGATGGGATAACTACTGCACGTTTTGGGGGGGTGGATCTTCTGCACCTGCCCCACCTCACCCTCTCCCAGTGGCTTCATTGCAGTTCCTGCCAGAGGAGCTTCTTTAAGGAGACGGTTAGGAGGGGGAAACCGGCAAACTCCCTGTGCCTCCTGTTACATAAGTGGTGCAGACAGACATTCCAGTGGGGGGGGGGGGAGGAGGACCCGGACACAATGCCTCTTTCAGCATGGATCGAAACTGGAAACCGCCCAAAGAGGCTTTGACTCCTTGGCCTCTCACAAAGCAGTTCCGTGTTTGCGCTTAGTGGGGCCTGGGCACACTCCGTGACCGAGAAAACAAAGCAAAAGCAGGTAATGGAACTTAACCATGGGAACAGGTTTATATGCAGAGCTCGGTACAGGCAAGCGGGGAGGAGGAATGAAACTGAATTTTGTGCTCAGAATTATAACAAGGCAAATTTGCCTTCCTTTGCACTGCTGATTTTGCTTCCAAGATTTGGGCTTCCAAAGGATACAGAGAGAGGGAGGGAGGTGTGCGTGTGAGTGAGAGAGAATCGGCTTCTCCGCTTCTCCGACCACCATGTCTCCATCCCCAGCAGCCCAGCACCAGGTCGGGAGAAGGAGGCAGGCTGTGGAGCCCCTTCCCCTCTCCCCCACTTCCTGCTCTAGGTGGCTCTTCTGGCCCCCTCGGTTTCGCACTGCCTGAACTCCATCGGGCTTTCTCGCTGTTTCTAAACACATGCAGGTATCACTCTTACAGTTACCCTACCCCACATCTTTTTTCTCCCCCCCCCATTAGATTTTCCTGCAAACCTGGAGGTTCACAGATTCTTACACTGTGGATGTGGCTGCCTTTCCCATTTTTATCTACATGTTGACCAGCTCTTGGTCATTAGATATAAAGCTGGATAAAAGTACAGCGGCAGAAGGGTATAGAAGAATTGCAATGGAACGTACAGCTGAGATTGGCAACAGTAATAGGAGAGACACGTACAATATCAGCTGAAAGAGCAAAGGCAGGGAGCGCTGTCCATCCTGCCACCCGCACTTATGCAGTAAGGTAGAGGTAAAGGTTTCCCTTGCTCGAAAGCCAGTCGAGTCTGACTCTAGGGTTACGGTGCTCATCTCCGTTTCAAAGCCGATGAGCCAGCGCTGTCCGAAGACGTTTCCGTGGTCATGTGGCCGGCATGACTAAACACCAAGGCACACGGAACGCTGTTACCTTCCCACCGAAGTGGTATACCTATTTATCTACTTGCAATTTCTTGCTTTCGAACTGCTAGGTTGGCAGGAGCTGGAACTAGAGACGGGAGCTCACTCTGCCATGCGGCACACTCGGGTCCCAAACTGCTGAACTACTGACCTTCCACAGCCTGCAGTTCAGCGTCTTAACCACTTGAGCCACCGTACCTCAGTAACCATCCACATTTCCCAGTTTATCAGCCTTCACAAATTATGTTCACACACTTCTAAGGTTTTTTTTCTGTTAACATGAGGTCTGAAAGAAACTTGCTTTAAAAAAAGACCGATGTTCTCTGGGCGTCAGGACTTGCACTAAGTTCCACAGATGAAATCCCACCCCACAGCACTGCCTTATCTCTACAGTACTGTGCTTGCAGGCATGAAGCTTCTGACAACTGACCGGCTGAGCAGGTGTCGTGGCTTGTGACATTCAGTAGCTCTGATAAACAAACAATTGGCAGTCTAATTTTTCTAAGGAGAGAGAAAGTTGTCAGACTGGTTGGGGTTAAAATGTCACATTGGGGCAGGAGAAGAACTGGAAAGGACACAAGACAAAGAGCCTGAAGGGAGGTCCAAAGTTGACAGACACGAGGAGCCTGAAGCAAAGATTAAGAATTAAGCCTCAAACAGAGGGGGGGGGGCAGAGAATTGAGTTAAACAGAGCAGGAGGAGACTGGGGGGGGGGAAACATCACAGCACTAAAGTGGGGGCAGAGGAGGAAGTTCTAGGGAGCCTGGGTCAAGACACAGGGTGGCTAAATGAAGCAGGACAAAAGTAGGCAGTTGCAGGACAAGCAAGAGCCTGAGGAAACAATGGATGGTGGAACTGAACAAAGGCAGAAGCAGAGAGGATGCAGGATGGGGGTTAATCTGGCAAGAAGGAAATGGGCAAATAAGAAGAAGAGATTGGATTTATACCCCGCCCTTCACTACCCAGAAGAGTCTCAGAGCAGAGCGGCTGACAAACTCCTTTCCCTTCCCCTCCCCACAACAGACACCCTGTGAGGTAGGTGGGGCTGAGAGAGTTCTGACAGAAACTGCTCTTTTTCAAGGACAGCTCCTATCAGAACTACGGCTTGCCCAAGGTCATCCAGCCAGGTGCAAGTGGAGGAGTGGGGAATCAAACCCGGTTCTCCCAGATTAGAGTCCGCGCACTTAACCACTACACCAAACTGGACCAAGGACTGTTGGCTATGGGATGAAGAGGCAAAAGAATTGCTGGACCTTGAATGCAGACCCTAACAGGGGAATTCTACCTACTGTGGCTTATCCTGTCCCTGTAGCCTTGTGACCTAGGAACCCAAAGGGGGGGGGGATGACAACAGGGACTGAATTTCATACAGTCATGTCAAATCGCCAGTTAATTCTTTGACTGCCGACTTCTTGTCAAAAGTAATTTGCTAACCAAGTCAAGCTACGCTTACTGCTTCCAACAGGATCTCAACTCCCCACTCCCCCCCAAAAACCCTGGCATACTCCCCTTTCCCGCAGTACCTGTGATGGGAGGCTTCTTATATTGGGCACTTTTGAGGTGCTCTTCAACCAGCTTGGGGGTGACACAGATAACATGCTGTCCCTTCCAGTACTTGACCATATTCAGCGACTGCAGCGTACTGATGATGTCATTTTGCGTGATGCTCGTCATCTGGCTGTGCCGGGGGAGAAGCATGCAAGATCCCATCAGCGTGAGCTGTGATAAAACCAGCCCAGGAAAATGTAGAATTTAGCCTGAAAGGTCACTGTGAGGCGAGGGGGCCCTCTTACAGCTGCTCATTCTCATTTTTGCATAACCATTATAACTATTCTGGTCACCACACCTTAAAAAGGATATTATAGCTTTGGAAAAAGTGCAGAAAAGGGCAACTCGAATGATAAAAGGGTTGGAACACTTTCCCTATGAGGAAAGGTTAAAGCGCTTAGGGCTCTTTAGCTTGGAGAAAAGACGACTGAGGGGTGACATGATCGAGGTTTATAAGATTATGCATGGGAAAGAGCAGGTAGAGAAAGAGGTACTTTTCTCCCTTTCTCACAATACAAGAACTTGTGGGCACTCCATGAAACTGCAGAGCGGTCGGGTTAGAACGGATAAAAGGAAGTACTTCTTCACCCAAAGAGTGATTAACACATGGAATTCACTGCCACAGGAAGTGGTGGCGGCTACAAGCATGGACGGCTTCAAAAGGGAATTAGATAGGCATATGGAGCAGAAGTCCATCAGTGGCTATTAGCCACAAGGTATAGATAGGGGCTCTGGGGCAAGGGATGCTCTGTCTCCTTGGTGCTTGGGGGGGGGGGTCAACAGTGGGAGGGCTTCTAATGTCCTGGCCCCACTGCTGGACCTCCTGGTGGCACTGGTATTTCTGGCCACTGTGTGACACAGAGTGTTGGACTGGATGGGCCTTTGGCCTGATCCAACATTGGCGTCTCTTATGTTCTTATCTAGAGAGTGTTGTCCCTGATCTGGATGGTCCAGGTGAGCCCAATCTTGTCAGATCTCAGAAGCTAAGCAGGATCGGCCTTGGTTAATACTTGGATGGGAGACCACCAAGGAAGTCCAGGGCCGCTACGTACTGGCAGGCGATGGCAAACCACCTCTGTTTGTCTCTTGCCTTGAAAAACCCCATGAGGGGTCGCCAAACGTTGATGGCACTTTCCACCACCACAGAGGGCGTTATACTTCAGGGAGCTATACAGGAACCCCACTGTTGTCCTCACCTGAGATCTTTGATGGAAAGAGTGCCCCGGAAATCCCGGAGGATCTCCAGCAGCACCCATGACCAGTAGCTCCGATAGCTCAGCTTGCCTAGGTCTGAGAGAGGCTTCTCTGGGGAACCCACGGTGCTTTCCAGCTTGGAGAGCTCATAGCCTATGGAGCAAGAGGTTGAGAGTCACATCCAAAGAAGCGGCCATAGTTCAGAACACAGACGTCTTCATGGGCGGGGCTGCTCCAGGTCTCGGGGTCAGAGGGCAGAGTCTTCCCCAAGGAGCTCTTGGTGCATGTTCTCAAGACCACCACTCAGATGAACTACCTCTAAAGCCTCTTTGTCCATCAAAAGTGCTAAAAAGGGCCCTGACAACGGATAGCCCAGGCAACCCTGATCTCGCCAGGTCTCGGAAGCTAAGCAAGGTCGATTCTGGCATGCACTTGGACGGGAGACCCCCTTGAAATACCAGCAGTTGGGAGGACAGGGGCAGGCTTTATCCAGCCACCTCTCCAGTTACTTTCTTTTTTCTTTTGGCTGGGAGGTGGGGAGAAGAAGACTCTCTTCCACTACACCACTAGGGAGAAGTCAAGGGGCTGCCAAACTGCTTCACGGGGGCTTGACTGACGGCCACACATCACTTGAGAGGGAAACAAACTTACTGAAAGCAATGAGGAACTTCCCGTAACCTCTCCTCTGGTATGGGGGCAAGGTGAGGATGCAGGCCACATTGTTACCATCTGGCGATTCCTTCTCCTAGAAAAGAAAAAAAGTCAACGGTATCAAATGAGGGCACTAAGAATTTGTCACTGGGCTTAGTATTCGGTACACAGAGAACCACAGGGTTTTTTTTCCTTCTTCAAATATAGAGGCAAGTTTCTAGCCTTTGCTGCTTCAGAGATCTGTTCCACAGGCAAGCAGACAATATCTGGTTACATCTCAGAAGTTGAGAAGGGTTTGCAGCAGGGGGTGCTTGGGTCATTAGAGTTCTGATTCTGAACAGCTCTTTGCAGGTATTGCAGGAAGCTCTCTTTGTCACTATGGATGTTTTTCTTTAAATATGAACATTCCACAAGATGAGGCTCTGGACCTCTTGCAGGATGATTTGGATAAGAGAGAATGCTTTTTCAGCCCCTCCCCAATATTTGTTATGCCACTTGGCTGAATTATGTTTGATGAAGATTTTTTTCCAGTTTCAAGGACAATTCTTTTGGCAAATCTCAGGTACAGCCATAGGGTGTGAATTTGCCCTAGAATTAGCAAACGTGTTCATGAAAAGACTAGACACTTTCATCAACCAGAAAGATTATATTTCCTCTAATCCATCTGCTCAAAGCACATCCAATCAATGATAATAATATCTTTAGGGACAGCATCATCCCATATAAAAGGTATTTGGATGATATTTTCATCGTTTGGAAAAGTTCACAGGAGTTCCTTATCCAGTTTGGGCAGTATATTAACACTACGCACCACAGTATTAAATCTGAAATGGTATATGACAGGTCTAGGATTAACTTTTTTAATGTTTTGATTAAAACGAAAGGTATTGAATTACATACTGATGTTTTCAGAAAACCCACGGATGCAAACTCTTTTTTAGCAGGTGATAGTTTCCATCCTTATCACCTGAAGAGAAATTTACCTTTTTCTCAGATGTTAAGGATTAGAAGAAGTTGCAGCCATGAGACAGATTTTTATAGACCAGCCAGCTTCCTAATGTAACAATTAAAGGATAGAGGATATTCTTCCAAAATTATCAACCAAGCCTTTTATAAAGCTAAGAACACACCAAAGGAAGCCTTATTGATACCCGAGATTCACAATAACAACAGACAGGATAATTCTGTTAAGTTATGATGGCACCGATGCTCCCTCTAAGCTGTGGAGTCTTGTGAGCAAAAATCCTACTTGAGCTACTGGCATTAAAGTTGTGAGGGAGCAATTTGGCTACTGCATAAATTAGTTTGCTCTGGAGCCCTCCTTCCTGAGCTAAAACAAAAATGTGCAAGCTGGAGGCTAAAAAACTGTGAGCTAGCTCACACTAACTCCGCTGAGAGGGAACACGGGATGGCACTTATGCTAGCGTGAGAAATATAATTGAAAAACACTGGTACCTTTTGTGTGACATCCCTAGATGTAGATCATAACCACAGAGATCACGGAATTTGGTTTTTCATGGTAGAGAATTCAAGATTTTTTAAAGGAAAAAAGTATATAGTGCACACGGCCAGGATCCTACCCTTCTCAAGAACGACTAGAATTCAAGCCCTCCCAACCCACCCACCACCACATCCAGAGTCAGACCAGCACCTTGGAGAAGTAGCCGACGATATGGGCCCCCTGCCGATCAACCTCAGTAAGGATGTAGAAAACAAAGGGTTCCACGTCAAAATAGAGGGTCTTGTGATCCAGGAAGAGCTTGGCCAAGAGACACAGATTCTGGCAGTAAATCTGAGGGAGACAGAAATGCCAGTCAGAACATGGACCTCCCAGCAAAACAGGATGGAGCCCCCTGCAAGAAGAGACGTCCCCACACTCAGTGGGGAGCTGCAAGGGACCCCCACCTTGTGATCTTTGCCATCCACCTCATACACAGAGATGTTGTTCTTGCGGTAGATCTCCTTCCCTGGTGGTTGCCTCCACTGGCACTGGCCCTTCGAAAGATGAGAGAAGGATTACTAGAAGCATTCTGAGCACCGTTCCATTGGCTGAGTTCTTTGTTTCTGGATTGTATGGCATTTGGTGAGGCTAATGCCCCACACTTCTCTCACTTGAAGTCACTGTTGCTCATTTAATTTTTTTTCTGGTGGCCCATATAGAAAATAGATACTGTAATTATGGATGTTGAAGGTACATTGCTCTTGGTCTCTTCTGTCTACCCCACCAAAAGAAAAACTAGGCAGATCTGCTGATATGCATCAGCCCGGCACAGTACTTTGTCCAAAGCGTTTCCGACATCCTTCCATCCCACCTGCTACCCTACACAACCCCCTGGTGCCCCTGACAACTGCTCTTCCCCCTTGCGTACAAGGTGATAGCGGTAGGTCTTCTCAAACTTCATGTACTTGAGGCAGTACTCGCAGATCCACAGCTTGGGTTGCTTCCCGTAATCCTCTGGGAAAGGTGAGAAATACCAAGCGTCAATTTCATAGTTCCCAATATGGATCTTGTCCACGTATTTCACCTTGGTGATCTGGAGAGGGAAAGCGACAGAGAGCGCTAGGCATCCAGGGACACAGCCACGCCCTTTCCCCCAACCCCGTTCAGGCAACAAACCAGGACAAGGGCTCATCAACACTCACTGCTTCGTGCTCCTTCTCCAAAGCTGCTGTGGTGGGATCCATCTCAGCATAAGTCTGCAGGGGGGGGGGGAGAAAGAGCATGGTGGATGGCGGCAAAGGCAATTTCCTTCTGGGCAAGTCACTTCCTGAAGGACAGCGTCACTACATCACTAGTGCCACGCTAGGGTCAGCAATCATCTTGTGCTTGGCAAGTCTGGCCCCTTCTGCAGATACTTATATCTGTGGACGGGGCCCACACTGACAGAACAGAGATCTTACTTCTAACTTGAGGAACGCCCCCAGGTTGGCAGAAAAATCTTAAGACCTACAAAAGGGGGGAGGGGAATTAAAACCTCATATCACTGCTGCAGTGTGGGAGGGGAAGGTGAGAGGGAGCGGCAGCGCTGGAGATGGGTGGCTGGGGTGAGAAGAATCCTCCTCCTCCTCCTCCCACACCTCCACCACCACTCTCTGCAGTCTCACCAATTAGACACTGATGGGAAAGTTTAGGGAGGGCGGCTCAGGCAGTGGGAGGGTGAACAGGAGCTTCCTCACTCACCGCCATAGCCACCAGCAGGCCACCCTCTATAAACTTGCCTCAGCTTCTGACCAGCACAACAGCAGAGAGCAGTGCTGGAGGCATTGGGGGGGCAGGGGTGAGGAGCCCATTCTCCCCCGTTTCCTCCGGCATTGTTGCCTCGGCCTTGCTGATTGGAAACCAACACGGAATGCTAGGGAGTGCGGCTCAGGCAGTGGGTGGGCAAGAAGGAACCTCCTTACCCACACACCCGTTTCCACAGCTGCCACCTGAGCCACCCTCCTTCTTCTAACCAACCAGACTGTGGGAAGCGGCCCAGGAGGCTCACAGTGCAATCTGCGACATTTTGTCGTTCCAGAAGTGGCAACCTAGCGCCCATGATTTTCCAGTCCTGGAACTGACTCCCTGTAACACAGCACAAGCCAGTCTCCCCAACAATGCTTCACGACCATCACCTTCTGCACATGGTTGATCTCGTCATGTTTTCGCTTCTGATTGCGGGTGATCTTGCGTTCTGGCTGTTCAGATAGCTCATTCATGTACTGGTCAGTGTTCTTTTGCACCGCATCTTTGACAGTTTTTGTGAGGGCCAAACGGTTCTTGTCAACCCACTCATCCAGACGCCGGTTGACTGCAGTGACCAGAAAATGGATTAATAGGTATGCCCTCCATCCCTACTACCAGCAGAAAGAATTCCACGCTATTGCTCCAAAAACTATTTGGCTAGGATTTAAAATGAGGGGATGCTACTCCCATCTCAGCCTCCTTTGCTAACCCACTGAAGACCACTTCCTCTCCTACGGATAGCGACAAGACTCAACAGGCTGCCATCTTCAGCAGCCCTCCAGAATGTGTCCAGTCCTAGAGACCATCTTCAGGAACCATGATCACTAACACATGACTGTCAGCTGAGGGCAGCAGTAGAGTTCTGCCAAAGAGAGCTGCTCTCCCAACAGATTTCATTGCCCACCTGGAGCTTCTGGAGGAAGCCAGGAGGCCTGACTTTCTCCTAATCCTTACTCATTCTCCCAGGAGTCTTAACCTCCCTATGCTAGATGACACTATTAGGTTTGCCCATTATTTAACTCTCAAGTTTATTTATTTAGTTAGTTACATTTTTATCCCACCCTCCCCGCAAACGGGCTCAGGGCGGCTTACATTCATTGGCACAAGGTACCATAAATCCGCACAAAACAGATAAAAACAGTTAAAACATTTTAAGCATTTTAAACATTTAAACTAATCAAAGTGCTAAACAGTAATAGCCATTCTTTGTTAATAGGATGGCGTATTAATGATGTAACACACACAATTTCCAGCTCAGTAAAACCTCCGGGCTCACACACCAGTATAACTAATCTCCAAGCCAGGGCCAGCCCACTACTGGTGTTGGTGGCAGTGGTGGGCAGCTTCTAATTGAAAGAGCTCCGTCTTGCAGGCCCTGCGGAACTGTAAAAGATCCTTCTTTGGGTTGGGTCAGACTTAAGGAAACCTTAGGCAATATGCAAGGACAAAGAATCTGTGTCTCCAGAACCCTCTAAAATCTGGCTCCACAAGTAACTTTGAGGTACAGCAAAACTTAATTAAGATATCAGGAACAAAAGTACAACCTTCTGTATAGCTGGTAACATATGAAACATTCAGTTAAGTATGTAGAAGGGTTCGATTAAGAAGAAATTACCCCACTCTCACTAGATGGACACCTCATACCTCTTCTGCGGCCATTAAAAAAACCCAAAAGGCACTCACAGCCAACATAGTGCACGTAAAATTCCTCTCTGGCTTCTTGTTCATTGATCCGAGACTGGATCACTTCAGCAGAATCTGCAAATGAGTTCATTATAAGGAAAGTTTGGTTAAGGGATACCTAAGTACCATTTGATTGAAAGCAAAAGGAAATAATCACTGTGATCATCTTGAAGCATCATGGCCAAGCTGTAGAGATGGGAAGGACTTGTTGGCAAGGGAGCACTTGTGCAAATTTTGTAAGGTGGAGTACTATACCAACTATAAGAATGATCCACAACCCAGAAAGGCACTAAATCTCATGTTAGCCGTAAAGCTCACAAGGGGCCTTCACTAAGGTGTGTGTTCTCTCAGCTTCAGTCCCCCATCTCCAATAACACTGGCCTGCTTCACTGAACTACTGTACTGACTACCTGTAAACAATGTATAGAAAGTGGTCTGAACACTACATGAGTTGTATAAATGATAATTATTGAAGTTCTGTCACAATAAAAGCTCTCATAAGTTGTTAAAACTAACATAGCAATCTAATGTTCTGCTATTAAAGAATCCTGTCCAGTCCAGTTGTTGTTGTTGTTTTTTACTTATTTTGACACTTCCCATGTGAGGTATCCTGGAGACATCTGTACTCTGCTTTTCTCTCCAAAGGGGACCAAGGGTGTCTCCCATCATTCTCCTCTCCTCCATTTTTAACTCACAACAACCCTGTGAAGCAGGTTAGGCTGAGAGTGTGTGACTAGACCAAGGGCACCCGAGCAAGCTTCCACAGCAGAGTGGGGATTCAAACCTAGGCCCCGCCAGAAGGTAGTCCAACACTCTAACCAGACTATGCTGGTTCTTCTGACTGTGAATGTTTTAGGCACAGCTATGGAAAGCTCAGAAGGCCCCACAGGGTCTGGGGCTACACAAGACAGCAGGGGCAGAGGGAGCGCATGGATGCAATGCTGAGAAAGCCTGGGGGCAGCTACGAGGGGGCGGAACAGCATCCCTGGGCCACAAATGAAATAGAAGCCCAGAACAAATTACTACCCAGCGTGGGGGAGGGATCGCCGCCGTCATGACAACGAGCCCTAGGCCGTGGGATGCCCCGTTGCCATAGCATTCCTGGGGGGGGGGGGAGCAATGCGGGGTGTGGGCCTCATCGCCATGGAGATGCTCTTACGCCAGGTCCCGTCCACGCGCCGACACAGGTAAGTCTCGCCGATCTCCACGGTCACTTCGGCCTCCCGGGGGGGCGGCGACGACGAGGGCGCGTGGCTTTGGCCAACCGGGACCCCCACGCTGCCTGGCCCCGGCGCCGCCTCCTCTTCTTCTCGCCCCCCCGGCCCCAGGCGTCGTGGGTCCGAGCCGGGGGGGCTCCCGCTTCCCCCTTCCGCCCCGCTACCGTCGTCGTTCCCGGCGGCGACGGTGGTATCGCCCCCTCCGGGCCCCGCGGCCGCTGCCATGACGACCGCCACGGCGACAACTCAGGCACACGCGCGCTACCCCCCCTCCGCAAACAACGGTTTCCAACCGTCTAGGCCGCAACCGGAAGTGATACCTCCCGATGGCAGGGCGCCGCAAGATGGGCTTCGCGGGGGCTGGCGCGGCAGTGTGACGTCACCGACACGCGGATCACATGACGGTGAGGCTCGCGAGAGCAACGGCAGGTTGGAGAGAGTGGACCGGTTGCTAGGAGACGGAGGCCTCCGAAGAGATCGGAGTTGAAAACATCCGTACGTTGTTGGACCGGACAAAATCCAGGCGAAGAAACAGTCTGGTGTACTGCCTTTTATCGAGGCCAATCCAAAAGGCACAAAACGTTGTGCAAGCTTTAGAACCCTTCATCAAGCGGTTGTTACAAAATTTAAAAAATGGAAGATGAAAAAAAAAGCAGCTCTGCCAGGTCCAGCTTTTAAGACCTTGTCATGCAAGATTTTGTGTTCGTTTGTTTTTTCCAGAATGAGATGACCCACCATCATTTGTAATGCAAATGCTGAACTCTAACACTTCCAGCAAAACTGTGAGCCTGCTAGTATCCAGCGTGATCTGAGGCTGGCATGACAGTGTCTTGAGATCTCAACCTGGAAAATTTGCTTTTCCCGCTGTCTTTTTTTTTTAATCTTGTAACATCTTCCTGATGAAGGGTTGTGGAGAACTGGACAGCTTGCACAATGTGTCAATAAAAGCTATTAAATGATTTCTTCTTCTCTGAAGAGACAGGCAGTCAATGCCAAAGTTGTCGGAGCTGCTGAAGGACACTTTTCCCTCCTGGGATAAAACGACGACCTATATTGGGAGCTAAATGTGGTTCATCAGAATACACAGTAGCAGATTTAAAACGTTTCTCCTTCAGGCTGCGTCAGAAAGAGCTGCGAGTTCTTAGAGGAACTCATCCCTTTCTCCAGGTTTGTGTGTGTGACAACAACTCTGTGCACACCTTTGTCTGGGAATAAGTTCCTCTGTTAAGACCTACATGCCAAGGTGACTGAGGGCAGCCTTCTCATTGGGCAAGTCATTCTGTGACTCCACCATATAGGAATGACTGTGTGATCTAATAATAGCCAGTGCAGAGATATGACCCACCTGCCTTACATGAAGACTGACTGGAAAGAGGCTAGGTCACAGCAATAAATTAGAGTTTCCAGTTTCAGGTTGGGAAATACCTGGAGATTTGGGGGTGGAGGCTGGGGAGGGACCTCATCAGGATATAATGCCGTAGAGCCCACCTTCCAAAGCAGCCATTTTCTATAAGGAAACCGATCTCTGTTGTCTGGAGAAAAGCTGTAATTCTGGGAGATCTCCAGGCTCCACCAGGAGGTTGGCAGCCCTATCAATCATGCAGAGAGGCACACAGGGAAGCCTCTTTTTAGTGTAGATTCTTTGGACCTATGGGTAGACTTTAAAAACATTCTTTTGGCATAGGTTTGGAGATACTGCTCTACTGTCTATGATGAAGTTTTCTGCGAACAGCACCTCAGAATGCACTGTACCAGATCCCTCTTGACAAAATGTAGTTTTTGTAGCATGAGGGCAGGGGAGAGAAGTTGTTTGCGGATGAGAGAAGAGTGAATCTTCATTTAACTTTCCACATTTCTAGAGCAAACTCAGTGTGCTGCAGACAAAGCCAGAGTGTTTAGACTGAAATGTCTATGGTTTTTAATGATGTATTTGAGAGTAAAACGGAGGAAAGAAAACTTTCACAGTTAATCAGGAACACAGTACAAAACTGTTACACACACAAGGGTAGATATTCTACACAGCCTTTTGCTCACTCCTCCTCCAAGGACAACACTATAAAATTTATTTAACATATTAACATTGAGAAATTAGTGATTCTGTCGCTCCCTATTAACAGAAATGGGAATAAGGCTTTTTGTTTCTGGATGCCCAGAAAGAGCTTGTGGTGGTTATTTTGGAGGAATAATGTTTGGAATTTGACGTGATGCTCCAGGGGCTGTTATATCAACTTGGGCTACTGTTGTGTTTCTAACTAGTCCTGTAGCCTTCTGTGTAACTAAGTTACATGGTTCATTTTAGGGTTTTTAAAAATATTGATCTTTGGCAACCACTACAGAAATTTTCTTATGAATCTTGTACATATGTTTGGATTTGCAAAAAAAAATTAGAAGTCATGGGATGAGTAGACTAGATCCCCCAAACTTAACAGCACAGTTGCTATATTCAAGAAACCCTAGATTCGATTCCAGTAGCACTTTAGAGACCAACAAGATTTTGGGGGTATAAACTCTTGTGCATCATGCAAATGCTAGCCTGGATGAATCACAAGCCAGAATTAAGATTGCCGGGAAAAACATCAACAACCTCAGATGTGCAGATGATACCACTCTAATGGCAGAAAGTGAAGAGGACCTAAAGAGCCTCTTGCTCAGGGTAAAAGAGGAGAGCGCAAAGGTTGGCTTGAAACTTAACATCAAAAAAACTAAGATCATGGCATCCGGCCCCATCACTCCTTGGCAAATAGAAGGGGAAGTCGTGGAAGCAGTGACAGACTTCATGTTCCTGGGATCCAAGATCACTGCAGACGGTGACTGCAGCCATGAAATTAAAAGACGCCTGCTCCTTGGGAGGAAAGCGATGGCAAACTTAGACAGCATAATAAAAAGTAGAGACATCACCCTGCCAACAAAAGTCCGCAGGGTCAAAACAGTGGTATTCCCAGTAGTACTGTATGGCTGCGAGAGTTGGACTAGAAAGAAGGCTGAGCACCGAAGAATAGATTATTTCGAATTATGGTGCTGGAGAAGACTCTTGAGAGTCACTTGGACTGCAAGGAGATCAAACCAGTCCATCCTAAAAGAAATCAACCCTGGCTGTTCCCTGGAAGGCCAGATTTTGAAGCTGAAGCTCAAATCCTTTGGCCACCAAATGAGAAGGGAGCACTCACTGGAGAAGACCCTGATGCTGGGAAAGATTGAAGGTCAAAGAAGATGGGGACGGCAAAGGATGAGATGGTTAGACAGTGTTATCGATGCAATGGACATGAAATTAAGCAAACTCCGGAGGACAACGGAAGACAGGAGGACCTGGCGTGATGTGGTCCATGGGGTCGTGAAGAGTTGGCCTCGACACTGCGACTGAACAACAATAGCTTTTGTGAATCATAGCTCCCTTTGTCAGATAGAAGGGAGCTTTGACTCTTGAAAGCTTACTCCCCCAAAATCTTCTTGGTCTCTAAGGTGCTACTGGACTTGAATCTACCTGTTCTACCGCAGGCGAACATGGCTACCTTCTGGAACTGTGTTGAAGAAGCAACAGAAATACATTAAAACTTTGAGGCTGGAAGGTTTCTTGGCCACGATAACCTCACTTCTTCTATGTATGTGAGAGAATGGGTCTATTCTTTCAGAAAGTCTCACATACACAGAACCAGCATGTAAGCCATGCAAGATTGTCCAGCATTTGACAAGGGAAAATGGATTAACTTGTGCATTAACATGCAGAGTTACTCTGCTAATCTGTGGCTTTGAAAGCAGAATTTTAGGGGGTCAATAAAACTGATTCCTTGTAATGTTGTAGATAAAGGTGGACATAGCTCTGATATCACCCAGCGAGTGATCTTAGATGAAAGGCAAAGCAGTTGCTTGGGAAGGCAGAATATCTTAGGCTGGCTGAGACTGTGAAAAGAGATCTCATGATCAAAGAACACACCAATGTCTTTCACCCCACAAACCTTTCGGGGAAACCTCTGCGGTTATAATTGAGCCATTTACTCTGTTAACTCTTGTTCCTTCCTCCTTTGCCAAAGTGTGAGTGACAACCCTGCAATGTACACTTCCTTGTGATCATTCCTGTGGATGGGCATCATATCAGTTGTGGTCCCAGCATTGCCCGCCTCTACTGTGCAAATATCTGAAGGGTCTTCACAGGGCAATCTATTCAGTATGTCAAGTGTTTGCTGAAATGTTCCGTTGTGTCTCAGACTCTAGACGCTGGCTTTCTGAACTTGCTCCATATTTCAAAAGTATTACCTGAGGTGTCAAGATCCAGTTTGGCTGCTTGTCTGTGACACATCAGAGCACTTGTGTGAATGAAGCCTAGGATGGCTTCCTTTTCACAGATGTCTGCTCACATCCAGGCTGCTGTTTTAGCAGACCTGAATTTTAAATCATAGCTCCCTTTGTCCACCAAATGGCAAGCAAGATTCTTCATTCAGCTATAGGGGATTTTTTCTTGTCTATCCTAGCCCTTACGAATGAAATTCTGGCCCCTGTGAAAACACTGTTGACTCAGGAAGACAAAATCCTCAATATGAGAACGGAAATTGTTCACAAAGGATGGGGCATCTCAGGGGCTACTAATCAGTGCAATTTCTCGCTCAAGGTAGACTTTTTGGAAAAGTTCAGAAAATAACCAGGGGAGGACTGCTCCATCTTACTAAACAAGGGCATCATCCAGCCAAAGTTGATCACTCTAAAGACTCAGTAATTTTAGTAAGAGTTAAGCACCTATTTAACTCTTTTCTATTGTAACCAAGAGGTTTTGAGGTGTTTAAGTTTGATTGGGCCTCACCCAATTTCCCTTACATGTAGCAGGAGCCCTTTCCATCTAGTAAGTAGATGTCTTCTGGGATACCTTTACTTTGCCTATTGAATGCCTTCAAAGCAACAGCAAATTAAGGGTAAAGAACATGAAATCTGGACTTAAAGAAGTGAAGGGAGAACATAGGGCTCTTGACAGCCAGTAAGCCATGAGAACCTTCTAGATCTAGAACTGTCTACAGAGATGGACTCCATTATGATATACCTAGGTGACATCATGAGGCTATTCACAGTTACTCTGAAGTCCCAACCATTATCAAGATTCCTCTGTAGTCAAACAAGATGAAGGCCCACAAATCACATGGTGGTTCTGTGCAGATCACCTTAAATACACAAATAGAGGGGCCATCAGGGTATTCGTTGGAATTTTAAATCAGAAGTGATATTTTGCGACTCAAGTGCTGTCTTCTATGTAATACTGTAAATACCCTTAAAAAGGAGCATCACAATATAATTTTGCTTGTCCTTCAAATTAAACGGGGGGCCAGGCCCAGAAAATTCCCATTTTCATGCCTTCTTAGGCAATACTGCAACATACTAAAAATAAGGCCCTCATAAAATCATTTTGCCTTTCCATTAAACTGGGTGTCACTGGTTGATACCATAAACACATGAAAGGAAAGTCATGGTATCAGTAGTGAACAATATTGGTGTTTGTGCATCGCGTAGGACAATGTAATTCTATTAACATAATCCTTGCGGATATCTTCCCTTTGAAACAGGGTCTTAAGTTGGCACCTCCCTTGGCACTACTGTAAATACATTCTGAAACAATATGGCCTTGGTTTATTTCACTTCTGTTTCCCGCTGACATGCTACGGATGCCAATAAAGGAATCACCGTAATTCCAGAGGATAGTCCTTGAAAAAGAGTCTGAAACTTGTATTGGAAGCCAGGCCACCCAAGTCTGACTGGAATCCAATGCATGCTCAGCTTGGAAGTAAGCCCCATGATTCAGCTCAGTTCAATGGGACTTAGTCCCTAATCAAAATGCACAAGAGTGTACTGCACTGATGTTACCAGAAAGACTTTTGGGAGCTCCTAGGACCTGCTCAGTAAGTCAGCAGTGAGACCCTCAGCTGGGCAGTTTATGGACCACCCAATTTTGGCAGGACTTTTGCCTTTAACGGGAGTCAGTCTCTATAGGATATGAAGCCCAGCAACCACGGGCTGGTCTACGCAAGTAGCATATTAACGCTGGTGCCCAAGGTGAGCACAGAAACATGGTCCTCCCCAGGGTGGACATGGGCCTGATGGCGTGGGAACTGCTGCTTGTATCGGAAAGTTTTCCCACAGGCAGAGCAGGCGTAAGGTTTCTCGCCCGTGTGGATTCTCTGATGTTTGACCAGTTTGGAATTGACATAGAATCCTCGGCCGCACTGGGCACATTTGTAGGGCTTCTCCCCGGTGTGGATTCTCTGGTGCTCAATGAGGGAGGAGCTCTGGGAGAAGCACTTCCCGCACTCCTCGCACCGGTAAGGCCGCTCCCCGGTGTGCACCCGGTTGTGTGAGACCAAGTGGGTCTTCTTCTTGAAGCATTTCCCGCAGAGAGGGCAGGGGAAGGGCTTCTCCCCCGAATGAGTGCGCTCGTGCTTCAGGAGATTGGAACTAAGGGAGAAGCGCTTCCCGCAGAGGGTGCAGGAGTAAGGCTTCTCTCCTGAGTGGGTGCGCAAGTGCTTGACCAGGTTGGAGGTGCGACTGAAGGCCTTCCCGCACTCCTGGCATGGGAAGGGTGTCTCCCCGGTGTGGGTGCGCTGGTGCTCAGTCAAGGCCGAACTGCGGCTGAAGCCCCGTCCGCACTCTGGGCAGGCGAAGGGTTTCTCGCCAGTGTGGATCCTCTGGTGCCCCATCAGCGTGGAGCTCTGGGAGAAGCGTTTCCCGCACACGTTGCACACGAAGGGCCTCTCCCCTGTGTGGATCCTCTGGTGTTCAATCAGCACCGAGCTCTGCGAGAAGCTCTTGCCACACTCGGTGCAATGGTAGGGCTTATCCACTGGCCTGCGGCTGGTGGGGGGAGGAGGGGGCGGTTCCAAGATCCCCAAAAGGTTGATAAAGCCTGGAGGATCGTGGGAAGCCTCTTTGGACTGGCGCCTTCTCAGCTGGCTTCTCCACCGTTCTTCCTCACTTCTGCAGACACTGGGGATCGTTGAAATACTCGGCGTGTGAAGTTCTGTCTCCCTTGTGCTTCTGCTTTCTCGGTCTCTGAATTGTCCTCCTGGGCTGCACTCACTCCCTGACACCATCTCTCCCTGTTCAGGACTTGGCGGGGTTTCCAGCAACAACTCCTCCATCTCTTCTTCTTCTTCCTCCAGTACCTCCTCTGAGAGATCGTCTGTCTCTTGACTTCCAAACACAGCATCTTTTAGAGTGAAAACAGAAATGGGATCTGCTGAGGAAGTTGAGCAAAACTGTTAAGGATATCACAATCTTACTTTTGACCATACTGAAGCCAGGTTATCTGTCCCAATGACCCGTCTGCATGGGAAGCTACAGACAGGTCAACTGGTCAGACTCTTCCATTGACCTGCAAGGTTCTCCATGTTCCAGACGTTTCTCAGAGAAGAGCACAAATAGCTTGATATGGCACAAGGTCAGGATAAGGTCTGATTTAAACATGCCGAGTAGTTGCGTCGCCCAAGCATAGTTTAAACAAGACATGCATAACATCCCGTGGGCACATTCTTTTGCCTCAAACAACCTCACGTTTAAATCCGGCATCAGGAGGACTCTACCATGTCAGGAACATGTGGATCAGCCATTAGATCAGTGGCACGGAAAGGATGCCACAACTTTCCACGGATTGGACCCCACAGCTCCAAAACCTGTCACTGGAAAGTCTTATTGCAAGAGCAGCCATCTGGCTGGCTAATTTGTTTTATGTAGGGGAAGGAGTTGAGGGAGTAGAATTTTCAAGCTGAAGTAACAGTTGAATGCTTTTTCTGGAAAGCTCATGTTGTGTTTGCGAGGGAGTTCTATGTCTCTGAATAGAGGGAGGCCCTCAAACTGTCTTACCTTTTAAAAGTGAGCCACTAGAGGTGCTGCCCTTTCTGGAGAATTGGGGCCACCTATCCACCTCCCATTATTCTTGGGGGAACACTGAAGGCCCACTGTTCAAGTCTCAGTTGCGTATGTAAGTGCCGTCCAGTCGCAGCCGACTAATGCAACCCTAGCAAGGGGCTTCCAGGGAAAGTGGGAAGCAGAGGAGGTTTGCCATGGCCTTCCTCTGCGGACTCTGCCTTGGTGGTCTCCCACCCAAGTACCAACCAGTGTTCCCTCTAAGCTGAGTTGGTGTGAGCTAGCTCACAGTTTTTTAGCCTCCAGCTCATACATTTTTGTCTCAGCTCAGGAAGGATGTGGCTACAGAGCGAACTAATTGATGCAGCAGTCAAATCGCTCGCTCACAACGTTAATGGCAGTAGCTCACAAAGTAGAATTTTTGCTCATAAGACTCCACAAGTTAGAGGGAGCATTGGTACCAACCCTGTTCAGCTTCCAAGATTTTATGAGGTCAGACTATACTATGCTGCTTTCCCTCCAAAGTCTCAGCTGCAGCGGCCCAAATCCTAGTACATGCCTTGGCATAAAATGTTGCTACCAATTCAGACCAAGACTTAGAATACAACATACCTGTTTCTCTTCTTCTCTGTGGATTATAAAGCACTGATAAGAGTAACAGTGGAGAGTATCCTTTGTAGATCATTTTGATTTTATTTCACTCATGGTCACTGTAGTTTAATTGGATACATTTACAGTGCCATTCTAAGCAAAATGCCACCCTTTCAAGTCCACTGATTTTAACTACTTCGGACGACACTCTTATTGGAATGACCTTCCCCCCGTCATTTCTGGGCCTACTGTGAAAAAGTCGGGCGTGAGGGTACATATTGATATGTGTTAATGTCTGAAATAATTGTCAGATTTAATTTCTTTATACTCTGTTGATCAGAGCAAATTGAACTGTATGTGATTATTTCAAATGAAATGAGCTTTATTTTTTTAAAAAATACATGTGAAGGAAAGTGCAATATCCGGGTAACTGGAACATTGACCTGGGAGTTGCCAGTACTTTTTTCTACTCTGACACTTGTTCTTTCACTTCGTCACCTCTGGACACGATCTCAAAGTAGCTAATAGCAGCTCCAGGAGCGACAGACTTACTGCACATTCCTAAGAACAAGTTCTTGGGACTAGGCCCCACTGAACAGACCTCAGTACATCTGCTTAAGATTGCTCTTTCAGGAACCAAAGGTAGTTTTCATGAACCAAAGCAACATTGACAAGCACTGGGGAGGGACTGTGCTTCAGTAGTAGAGCATCTGCTTGGCATGCATAAGGTCCCAGGTTCAATCCCCGGCACCTCCAGTTTTTTTTAAAAAAAGGACCAGACAGTAGGTGATGTGAAAGACCTCTGCCTGAGAACCTGGAGAGCTGCTGCCAGTCCGAGTAGACAATACTGACCTTGATGGACCAAGGGTCTGATTCAGTATAAGGCAGCTTCCTGTGTATACACGTGTGAAGTTCTAGGGAGTTACAATAGGGTTAATCTTTCCCTGTCACTCATCTAATGCTTGTTATGAGATTGTGGCCGAGCACTGTCATTCCTTTTTTGGTGCCTTCCTTTTATTGTTCCAAACTACTCCAGCTCCGCAGAACATAACGGGGGTCTCCTTTTCTGAATATTCCTGCTACCCAGCTCCACGGAGTCCCTTGTTTTTAGTCTCAGTGAGGGCTATACAGGAATGAAAATTATTCCAATCATAGCTTTTGTTGCAGGAGCTATTTTGGTTAACGGACCAACCTTTAAAGTTGCAGAAAAACAACCTGAAGAAGAGTTCTGTGTGTCTCAGAGGTTTGCTATGTATCAATACAATTGCTCACATGCACAATTCCCTTTAATCCTAGGCATTCCATTCAACTTGTGCAACATCACACAGACACATAGTTTCTGTTCTGAACAGCTCCATCTGAAGAAGATTTTGGTACAAATCAGAAATCTCTGGCCTCTTACATTTTGACACGCATCAGCCATAATGAAAGGAATCACCTCACTTCTATTTTTAATCTGGGGGTCAAATACCAGATCAGGGACATCTTGCTTCCTAACACAGATCTGTTCTCCAGTCTTACCTGTGTCTCCAGATCTCTCCCACTCCTCTGTCTCTTGCAAATCCTTCTGTTCCATCCTGGGCAGCTTCACTGGATCCTAGTCAATCTGAAGAAGCTTTTTGCAAATCCCCCCTCCTTCCACCCGCCCAAAGACAGAAGAGAGCTCAACCTCAGTGCATCGGACAGTTATAACAGTCCCATGGTTTGCAGATCGGTCGTGCCTGCAGAGCGGCAGAGGGAACCCACTGATGATGTCACATCCTCACACCAGTTCACATGATGCAGGGGGGATCAAAGGGAGAGGGGAGGAAGAGGAATGCTGGAGGCGGTTGCTAGGGAACCAGAAGAGACACACAAGGCGGGGGGGGGGGCGAGAGGAAGCGAGGGCGTTCAGTTCCTCTAAGGTCCGATAACTTGTGCTTAGAGCCTGATAAAGACGACGAGCGGGAGTATTTATCAGTCTAAATCATCTCTCCGCTTCCCACCCATGATCTCTGAAGTGGTTTCCGAAAAGAAAGTAAATAATCCCAAGATAAAATCTAAATGAAAGCAGGCTCAAATAAGTAGCAGCATGGCCAGTATCCTTGTGTGTGTGTGTGTGGGGGGGGGGGACATACACCCATAAACAATTTAGTAGGTTTGCCAACTCCCAAGATGGGAGGTTCCTAGAGAGCCAAGGAGGACAGAGCCTGAGAACAAGAAGAAGCTCAGCAAGGACGTGATGCCAGAGTCTGCCTTATGAAGCTGCCATTTCAATAGAATCGCAGAGTCGGAAGGGGTCATAGAGGCCACGTAGTCCAACCCCCTGCTCAATGCAGGATCAGCCTAGAGCATCCCTGACAAGTGTTTGTCCAGCTGCTGCTGCTGCTTAAAGACTGCCAGTGAGGGGGAGCTCACCACTTCCCTAGGCAGCTGATTCCACTGTTGTACAACTCTTACTTTAAAAAGGTTTTCCCTCAGATCCAGCCGGTACCTTTCCACCCTTAATTTAAACCCATTATTGTGAGTCCTCTCCTCTGCTGCCAACAGGAACAGCTCCCTGCTCTCAAAAAGTGACAGCCCTTCAAATACTTCAAGAGAGCAATCCTGTCCCCCCTCAACCTCCTCTTCTCCAGGCTAAACATTCCCAAGTCCCTCAGCCTTTCCTCATAGGGCTTGGTCTCCAGGCCCCCAATCATCCTTGTCACTCTCCTCTGTCCACATCCTGTTTGAAGTGAGGCCTCCAGAACTGCACACAGTACTCCAGGTGCGGCCTGACCAATGCAGTGTACAAGCAGGCCTATGACATCTTGCAGTTTGGATGTTACGCCTCTGTTGATACACCCCAAGATCGCTTTAGCCTTTTTTGCCACTGCATCAGACTTGCTCATATTCAACTTCTGGTTCACCTGTACCCCAAGATCTTGTTCACACACACTGCTACCCAGAAGTGTATCCCCCCATGCAGTATGCATGTTCCTCGTTTTTGTTACCCAGATGTAGCGCTTGGCACCTTATCCTTGTTAAATTGCATCTTGTTCACATCCACCCATTACTCCAGTCTGTTCAGATTTCATTGAATTCTAAATCTGTCTTCTGGTGTGTTCGCTGCTCCTCCCAATTCGGTGTCATCTGCAAATTTAATGAGTAGCCCCTCCACACCCTCATCCGGATCATTTATAAAAATATTGAAAAGTACCAGACCCAGAACTGAGCCCTGTGGTTCCCCACTGGACACTTCCCTCCATTCAGATGAAATGCCATTGACAACTACTTTTTGAGTGTGGTTCTCCAACCAGTTCCCTATCTATCCTAGAGTCCAGTCCACAGTCCCCTAGTTTACCCATCAGAACATCATGGGGAACCCAGGAGGAAAAAATATTTCTAAAATGTATAAGGTGTTGTTAAAATGGTATACTGAAGATGAAACTGTTAAAGAACAGATGTTAAAATGGGCTATTAATATGAATAAGGAAGTGGATATGGAAACTTGGGAATATTTGTGGAAAAACTCTATTAAGATCTCGACATGTACTAATGTTAAAGAAACCTTTCCCTTCCCCTCCCCACAACAGACACCCTGTGAGGTGGGTGGGGCTGAGAGCACTCTGACACAAACTGCTCTTTTTTAAGGACAGCTGTGCCAGAGCTTGTGACTGACCCAAGGTCACATCAGCAGGTGCAAGTGGAGGAGTGGGGAATCAAACCCGGTTCTCCCAGATTAGAGTCCGCACACTTAACCACTACACCAAACTGGCTCTTTACTGAAATCCAGGGAAACAACATCGACAGCATTCCTTCAATCCAGTGAGCTCACCACTCGATCAAAGACGGAAATGAGGTTGGTCTGGCAGGACCTGTTGGGGACAAATCCATGCTGACTTCCCCGGATCACCCAGTTGTCCTTTAGATGCTCGCAGAGCGATCCCTTGAAAATCTGCTCCAGTATCTTCCCTGGGACAGAGGTCAGATTGGCTTGTAGTTTCCTGGGGCATCCCTCCTCCCTTTATTGAAAATTGAAAACTGGGATAACATCTGCCCTCCTCCAGTCTTGTGGCACGTCTTCTGTCCTCCAAGAGGTCTGGAAGATGATGGACAAAGGCTCTGCAAGCTCTCTAGAAAGTTCTTTGAGCACTCTTGGGTGCATACCATTTGGCCTGTACTCATTCAATGCAGCCAGGTGCTTCTCGACTACCTCTCTAACGACCTTTCTCCATGGGAACCGATTTCTGTAAGTCTGGAGAGCTGCTGTAGCCCTGGGAGAATGCCACATCCCACCTGGAGGCTGGAAACCCTACGATGCAGTCGTATTTCACTTGGAAAGACAGAACGTTTTTTACCTGCCACTGAAAAGACGGTGGCATGCACCCAACCATGTGATTCCTCTGTCAGAACAGCACATCTGTTTGCGAAAGAGCAGGCTGAGATTTCTCTTTGTCCCCCCCCCCCATTTCCCCCCCTCTACACTGTTCTTGAGGGTCCACTAACCACCAGGAACAGAAGGGAAGGGAAGAAGAAGAAGAAGAAGAAGAGACTGGATTTATACCCCGCCCTTCACTTGGAGTCTCAGAGCGGCTTACAACCCCCTTTCCCTTCCCCTCCCCACAACAGACAACCCTGTGAGGTAGGTGGGGCTGAGAGAGCTCTGACACAAACTGCCCTTTTTCAAGGACAGCTGTGCCAGAGCTTGCGGCTGACCCAAGGTCACATCAGCAGGTGCAAGTGGAGGAGTGGGGACTCAAACACGGTGCTTAATGATGTCCGCAGATTGTTGGACACACGGCAATAAAGGGGGCGGAAACCAGACAAATATGCTGGAGAAGAAGGCATTTCATTCTGAGAGTTCCCTGATAGGAAACTCCCTGTTCCTAGTAGCCACACATCCAAGCTTCAAAGATGAGATGGCAGAGATCGGTTCCACTGGAGAAAATGGTGGACTCCATGGCATTATGCTTTGCTGAGGTCCCTCCCCTTTCTAAACCCCGCCCCGCTCACCAGATTTCCAGGAAATCCCCAAACTGAAGCTGACAACCCTACTCAGTTGAGCCCAGAACAGAGGCAAGATCATACAAAGACAGGCAGGTCTTCAGAGACCAAGTTCTTGCCCCTGCAGGGTTTTCTAGACCAGCACTTTAAACTGCCCAAACTGGAGGCCTATGGACTTGCCACCATTTCTTCTCCAACCAGCACATTGTTAACAGTCGTCGAAAGGCATTCCATGGCATGTTGAATATACAGCACATCCTTATATCCACTTAGACCACTGGTTCACCTAGCTCTGCTCTTGACTGGCAGTGGCTCTCCAGGGTCTCAGGCCAAAAACGGCCTTTCCCAACCTCAGGCCCCTTAAATCTTTCAACCAGAGGAAGCCGGGATCAAACCTCCGGTCTTCTGTGCGCAAAGCATGTGCTCTACCACACAGCCACTTCCTCCTTTGCTGCTGCCTGCCTGCCTCTTGTGCAATGGTAAAAGAGGAAGTGGTGGCAAAGCGGAAAACGGCAGCAAACTCAGCAAGATTTTTGCTTCTCACGTGGCCCAAAACAAAGCAACCAATGTCACCTTTCGTTTATGGCACCCCATGAAATAATAACTGTCATATTTATGTCAGAATGACAAACCTTTCCACCCAACCAGTGGCCATCTCACGTGTTCTGGCCACTGGTATTGCTTGTTTTTTGAGCTGCTAAGTCCGAGAAGGACTGGAGAGCTAAGAGAAGGTGGCGGCTCATTTGGATATGCTGATTCACTGAACTATAGGGACAGTCCCCTTAACTAATATAACCTGCTTTTAAAAATAAAGCCAGTCCCAAGATCACAGTATCTCTGAGCATCAGTTGTACCTTTAACTTGAAAGGAAAATGCCTTTTTTAAAAACTGACATTAAGGAGCATTTGTTCTGCACATCCAATGTAAAGAACATTCCTGCCAACCACATAAGAACATAATAGAAGCCAATGTTGGATCAGGCCAATGGCCCATCCAGTCCAACACTCTGTATCACACAGTGGCCAAAAATACCAGGGGCCATCAGGTGGTCCACCAGTGGGGCCAGGACATTAGAAGCCCTCCCACTGTTGCCCCCCCCCCAAGCACCAAGAATACAGAGCATCCCTTGTCCCAGACTGAGAGCTCCTATTTATACCTTGTGGCTAACAGCCACTGATGGACCTCTGCTCCATATGCTTATCCAATTCCCTCTTGAAGCCGTCCATGCTTGTAGCCGCCACCTCCTGTGGCAGTGAATTCCATGTGTTACTCACTCCTTGGGTGAAGAAGTACTTCCTTTTATCTGTTCTAACCCGACCGCTCAGCCATTTCATGGAGTGCCCACGAGTTCTTGTATTGTGAGAAAGGGAGAAAAGTACTTCTTTCTCCACCTGCTCTATTCCATGCAAAATCTTTTTTTTTAAAAGATGTTTTAAGATATCCTTTAAAAAAATCACTGTGCAATTGGGACAACTACGGTGAGCCAAGTAACTGGGAGAATAACATTTATTTTTTATTTATAATGAAGAGAGTTTAGGTAACATACAATCAGTTCACAAATGAAGATTCCTCCTACCCCCACCCCGCCCAGGACAGTGGTATCTGCCTTAAAAAAAAAAGAAGAAGAAGTATTTCAGGGATGTGTGCCAGCAGAAGAGGAAATGCGCTCCACCGCAGAGGCTGTCCAAAGGACCCAAGCTGATGTCCCTGGATTGGATCTAAACCTCTTTTCTTCGGGTTAAAAAGAAAAGGCAGAAGCTGGCAAAGTGTATGCTGGGGGATCATGGGACCTGCACGGATGAAAAGGCACAGGGGACGGGGGCCGAAGTAAGGAGGAACATTGAGAACAAAATCTGACTGGATCCAACCCCTTGCTAACAGGAAAGGTTTGGATAAGAAAGGGCGGGACAGTATCTGAACAGCACAACAAAAGTTTGGCAGTGGCTCAGGATGTGAAGAATCCAGGTATCTCCCTGCCATGGTTAGTACTTGGATGGGAGACTCCCCCTGGGAGACTCCCCCAAAGGAGTCCAGAGTCACGACACAGAGGCAGGTAAAACCACCTTTGTTAGTTCCTTGCCATAAGTTGGTTGTGGATTGGTGGCACGCAGTTATTAATAACAGATCTAGGGCAGGTAACATTTTGTGGCCCTAATGCTTGGGGCGGGGGGGATTCTGCAACATCTACCTGTGAAGATGCTGGTGCATGCCCAACAAAATGGAGGATGGAAGAGATGAGGACTGTCCTTGGCCAAACATGCTTGGAGCAAGCCAAGCCACAGCGGTCTTGCCAGCATCACAGGGATTCCCCATGGACTCAGCCGGTGGCTGTGTGTGCCTGGGAGGTGATGACGGGAGTAATCCACGCCGGCTGCCTTCTCCTGCACTGCTGTCCCCAGCTGGTGCCCTGGTTTCCTGGGCAGAAATCTGGCCCTGGGTGCCAAGCGAAATAACCTGGTGTGCCACAGTCGGCACGCTTGCTCGGTGGTTGTCTACCCTGCCATAGGTGACCAGGGGTGAGCATGATACCCATCAGAGAACAATGCGGACTTGGCCAGGGTGCTGACGTTCATCCACTGAGTGCTGGAACTGAAGGGGAAAGGCTATGGAGGGGCTGTGGCTCATTGGCAGAGCATCTACTTGGCATGCGAAAGGTCCCAGGTTCAATCCACAGCACCTCCAGTCAATGCTCCCTCTAAGCTGTGGGGTCTTGTGAGCAAAAATTCTACTTTGTGAGCTACTGGAATTAAAGGTGTGAGCAAGCGATTTGGCTGCTGCACAAATCAGTTTGCTCTGGAGCCTTCCTTCCTGAGCCAAGACAAAAAGGTGTGAGCCGGAGGCTGAAAAACTCACACACACACGCTAGCTCACACTAACTCAGCTTAGAGGGAACCCTGCCTCTAGTTAAAAGGTCCAGGCAGCAGGTGATGTGAAAAACCTCTGCCTGAGAGCCTGGAGAGCCGCTGCCAGTCTGAGTAGACAATACTGACCTTGATGGACCAAGGGTCTGATTCAGCGTACAGCAGCTTCCTACGTGTGCTCATGTGGAGAGCTGCAAATGATTCAGAACCCCCTTATATTTGGGGTGGAGAAGGAAAGATGTTGCCTACCACATGGTTATGCGCTAAAACCCCCCAGACCAGATGACTCACGTCAGTCAGACCAGAGCAGCAGTAATCTGATGCCTGGGTTGATGGGCCCAAGGGAAACTACTCGATTCAAGTGGCAAAAACTGGTAGAACTGCAGCCTCTGAGGGTCCCGGGCCACAGCTCTACAGGGGCCAATAGTTGCGAGAGAAGGAGAGCAAGAAGGGAAGCAAGCCTGAAGAAGAGCTACCTATGCTTTCTCAGACACTTGTAGGATAGCCGTTGTCTCCGCCCAGGGGCTGAGAGCAGTTACCGATTCTCCCTCTTCCGAATGCACTTGTTTCTGGTGACGGGTGAACTGGGGCTTGTACCGGAAAGCTTTCCCGCAGACCAGGCACTCATACGGCTTCTCTCCCGTGTGGATTCTCTGGTGCTTGATGAGGTTGGAACTCACGCAGAAGCTCTTCCCGCAGTCCGCACACTTGTAGGGCTTCTCGCCTGTGTGGATCCTCTGGTGTTCGATGAGGATGGAGCTCTGGGAGAAGCACTTCCCGCACTGCTCGCAGCGGTAGGGCCGCTCCCCGGTGTGCACCCGATGGTGGGACACCAGGTGGGTCTTCTTCTTGAAGCATTTCCCGCAGAGGGCGCAAGGGAAGGGCTTCTCTCCAGAGTGGGTGCGCTCGTGCTTCAGGAGGTTGGAGCTGAGGGAGAAGCGCTTCCCGCAGAGCGAGCACGTGTAGGGCTTCTCGCCGGAGTGGGTGCGCAGGTGCTTGACCAGGTTGGAGGTGCGGCTGAAGGCTTTCCCGCACTCTCGGCATGGGAAGGGCGTCTCCCCTGTGTGGGTGCGCTGATGCTCCGTGAGGGTGGAGCTCCGGGTGAAGCCCCGCCCGCACTCTGTACACGTGTAAGGCTTCTCGCCCGTGTGGGTGCGCTGGTGCTCCACCAGGGTGCTGCTGCGACTGAAGCTCTTCTCGCACTCACTGCAGGTGAAAGGGCGCTCCCCCGTGTGGATCCTCTGGTGCTCTATCAGGTTGGAGCTCTGTGAGAAGCTCTTCCCGCAATCGGTGCAGTGGAAGGGCTTCTCCAGCACGCGCCGGGTCGCGGTGGCGGCTGGCGGCTCTTCCACGATGCCCAGAATGTTGATGTAGCCCCCCAGACCTGGCGCGTTGGAGCGCCTCCGCCGATGTCTGAACGGTGGGGGAGTCACCTGTGGCTTCTCTTCGCTCTTGCAGGTGTCGTGGAGGTTCTGAGCAGCGCTTTCGAGGGGCGACGCATTCTCAAGAAACTCCGTTTTCGCCTCCATCATCTCGTCATCTGCGTAGAAAACAAGAACTTTCTCAGAATCACAGGGACTTCCGCATTGAAAATGCATTAATGCTGTTCCTCACTTTTATCAAGAACCCGAGAATTCCTACGATCAGTCAGATCTCTTGTCCTCCTATTTCAGGGTCCTCTGCTCAGTTAACTTCATTCCGTTAGAAAGTTAAACATGCCCTGCTTGTAAATTTCTGAAAAACAGTGGCTAAAACTCATGGATCCCTGGAAGCCCCACAAAGTGATTTAGACCAGTCTGTAGCACCAAATGTGTAAGGAGACTGTGGCTATGCAGTGCCAAGGGAAAAGTAACTGCACATGTGTAAGTACTGGAACGTGTGTAGCACCTTATTAACACTACACATTTTTTTATTTTATTTTACTTCATTTCTACCCCAACAGGGACCCAAAGCAGCTTACATCATTCTCCTTTCCTCCGTTTTTTCTCACAACAACCCTGTGAGGTAGGTTAGACTGAGACTATGTGACTGGCCCAAGAGCCCCCACGTGAGCTTTCATGGCAGAGCAGAGAACAGAACATGGGTTGCCACGACACCGCACTGGCTCTCACATGTTCCAGAACTGGACACTGGTTCTGAAAACAGGTTTTAAGCTCAGTCCCGGTGGATCCTGGCACTATTTGAGTCCGACACCTGCCACCCAATACAGAACTGAGCTTAAAAAAGAAAGTTACTAAACGCTGGTGATTTGGAGACATCTTTATGTCTTTCCTTTCTGTTCTCCCAAGCTGCCTCGCTGCTTCTGAGAAAACAAGGTTGCACTTACCTGTAACTGTTGTTCATCGAGTGGCCTTCTGTGCAGTCCCAGGCCAGCCACGGAAAAGACTTCCAAGCTTTCTAATAGACTAGGAGCGCCCCCTCCTCCCTCTGGCGCTTTCCCGCCAAAACGCTCACATGACCAGGAGGAGGGGCGCTACGCCCTCAGTTCTCTTTTTGCCGCCACGGAGAGATCATCTCCACTGCTGTTCTCTGTGTTTTTCCTCAGTTTTGAGACTGAGGAGATTTTTTTCTCTCTCAACAGTTTTTATTCAAGTGAACAATTAAATATGTCTAAAGAAGAAAAATGTTTGGTGGATTTCCACTGTGTCATTATGACTCAAAAGGGTGCTGATAAACAGCCATTCTCTGTGCCTTGGCTGCCTAGGGGTTCACACAGCAGAGCTGCCGGCTCTTGCTGTCCCCGTTTCCCCTGAAGGCACGTGTGGAAAGAGCTGGACTCATAAGTAGGCTTGCCAAGTCCCCCTGGGGGACGGGGAAAGCCCCGCCCCAGAGGCCCGTTTCCTGCCGCCGGCGGATCGGGCCCCGGGGGGAACTCCACCCCGACGTGCACGTCACCAGGAAGTGACGCGACCACGCCGGGCATGCTGGGGGCAGGGCCACAGTCATCCGAGGGAAAACTCTATGGTTTTCCCTCGGATGGTCGTGGCCCCGCCCCCAGCGTCGTCACGTCACTTCCTGGTGACGTGGATGTGGCGCGTGCGCGCGAAGCTTGCACACGCGCGGTCCGGGATCAACCCGGAAGTCCCCTGCTCCGGAACAAGGTGAGACTTGGCAACCCTACTCATAAGAGCTCTCTTCAAAGGCTTCCTGGTGAGGAGGGGTGGACAAAGAGCCTGGCTGAAATGGCCCTCTTAGGAGGTCGCCTGTGAGCCCAGCAGCCAGATGATGGCCTATTCCCCCTCTGCTGAGGTGTGTGCACAAAGAACCTGGCTGAAACGGCCCTCTTAGGAGGTCAACATCCCAGTTATTTAAAAGCACCAAACCCTGAAGCAGAATGAATTATACAAAGCTAGGCATACTTATTTTCAAGGCTGGTTGGGATTGCACAATATCGGCACCCAGGCTGCAGAATATGCCTTCTGAGACAGTCTGAGGGACACAAACTGTGCACGTCTGAAAATATCCTATCAAAGGAAAGAGAGCATCACATCCATTGGCAGTTTCACTCATTTCTTACCTGGACAAACTTTGATCCTTGAAATATCCACTTTTTCAGAGGCCCGAAGTTCTGGGACATTTTCACTGCCTTCACTTTGAGCCATCCAAAAGACCAAGGCAAACTGTGCTGAATCGAAAACCTGCTTGTGAAAGATGGAGATTTTATTCACTCTCTTTTCGAGAGGCTCTAGGCTGTATGTCAACATGAGAATTATTGCTATACAAACACACACACACACACAGCCACAAATAAACATCTTCCCAGAATATATAGCCCTCAGAAATACACATACACACACACGCTGCCACAAATAAGCATCTTCCCAGAATATATAGCCCTCAGAACTCTTAATCCTGTTATACAGATAATTCCAAATCATTAAAATAATTGGATAACAATCAAAATACCTAAAACTGGCACTGAGGTAGATGTCAGATAAACAGGACTTAATTTGAGCCTGCAAAGGTGTAAGACATTAACCGAGCACACCCAGAACACCCCGATAAGCATCACTGTAACTTTGGACATTAACCGAGCACATCCAGAACACCCTGATAAGCATCACTGTAACTTTGGCTACTCTACTTTTAGTGCTATTTTAAAAATTAATTTGTGCTTTTCTCTTTTTTAAAAAATGAGCTTGGACAGACCAAGGAAAAATAACAATGGTCTGCTACAGTACCAGGCCTTCGCTTGAGCAGGATTTAACCCCAGAATTTGGCTTCAATGCCAAGACTCAGCCCTGAGCAGGATTTAACCCCTGGATCTGGCTTCAGTGCCACAACTCAGCCCTAAAACATGGGCATTAACTAACTGTGCATGCTAAACGAATTTATACTCTTCTGAGCCCAATGATTTCAATGGACCTAGAAAAATGTGACAGTTCAGGATTGCACTGACAGTGTTTCTGAGCATGCAAAGAGTGCATTTCCTTTGCTAAATGAGGTCATTAAACTCTCAAGCATCTGGGATTCAGGGGAAGTGCTTTCTGGATCAGAGGGTGTGACTTCCATGCAGGTCTGAATCCACAAAGAAGTGTGTCAATGCATGACAATCTGGGGGGGGGGAACTAATCAAATCAAAATGTACTACAGCAGGTTACTGGATAGACGAGGATGCCTCCGCCTGTCGCTTTGTTCTGTACACCACCTGTGGCTAACAGACTGCCTGAACTTTCCTAATACTGGCTGAGGGGGCAATGTAAAATGGAAGCTTGTGCTTTCTGACAGCACCTCAGAGCACCCGAGTCACTGCGAGGACAGTGCAGTCCAGATTAGTAAAATAAAGGTAAAGGTTCCCTTGCTCGAAAGCCAGTCGAATCCGACTCTAGGGTTGCGGTGCTCATCTCCGTTTCAAAGCCGAAGAGCCAGCGCTGTACGAAGACATTTCCGTGGTCATGTGGCCAGCATGACTAAACACCAAGGCGCACGGGCAGCTGTTAACTAACCAGATTAGGGAAGAACAAAAACTCGCCAACTAGAAGCAAAGCATGAATTGGCTCTCACCGTTAAAGAGAGAAAAAGAGGCGGGCAGATGGGGGTGGGTGGTGGCGGCAAAGAAATGGTTTGGGGAGACGGAATAAAGCAACATCAAAGATATTGCGAGGAAGGTAGGAAGGGTTCAGTCTCGAACAGGACTGGCACGATTCCTGCCCTCCGCGAGGGAGAACCGGACACACCGCCTCCATCACGCAGACCACGCGGAAGGGTGAGAAGACGAGATGGGGCTGGGGAAGCCAGAGACAGCGTGGAAGGGCAGCGTGGGAAAAGAAAAGGAATTCCCAGCAGAGAAGCCTGCTTGGACACTAACCCCCCGGCCTGAAGTGACTGCAGCGCAGGGCAAGAAGAGGAGCAGAGTAGGAGGAACCACAAACCACCCCCCTCCCCCATCCCATTTGCAGGGTTCGAGGCTACCGCCAAGCGGGTCTCCCTGCCCTCCTCCTGCTTTCTCCCCCCACCCCCCGCCTCTCTTTTGTCTCCCAGTTGCAAGCCCAGGAACCGGCGCCACCCACCCAGCAAGGATCGGGGGCCACGCGGCCGGCCTCCCTCGCGCTCTTCTCACCCGGGGGCTGCAGCGGCTCACCAGGCTTCCCGGCCGACCCAGACTGCAGGCGCAGGAGACTGTGTGCCCCCAGGAAGGCCGTCCCCGGGAAACCCCGTCCCGGCAGCGGCAGTTCCCCTCTGCTCAGGCAAGCGCCGGCCAGCCCTTCCCTTCGCCAGGCTGCAAATCAAGACTGCCGCGGAGGAAAGAGGCCGGGCGGGCACAAGGCGCCGGTGTGGGCAGATTTACCTGCGGGCTAGTCAGTGGCTGGAAAAACTCGTTATAGGGTTGCACGGTTTTCTCCCGGGTTCCTACCTAGACGTTAGCCTCGACGCGTGTGTTCAGTACAAAGTTGGCGTTGCCGCTGCCAGCTGCAGGTTGGAAATTCTTGGAGAATTTTTTTTGGGGGTGGGGATTACAGCCTGGGAGGGTGGCTTTTGAGGAGGGGACCTCAGTGGGCTATAATGCTATACAGTACACCGTCCAAAGCAGTCATTTTCTCCACGGGAACGGATCTCTACTGTATGAAGATCAGTTGCAATTTCTGAGCGATCTCCAGGCTCCCCCTAGAGGTAGGCAACCGTACAACAGGGAGGTGTGTCTTCCGTCTGAGTAGGAGAAATCGGTGGTTTTAGACTGGAATAAACCTACATGGGATCGCCCCGGGGGAGCTGCCCAATGCATATCCCCCAAGGATTACAGTTGGGATGTTTCCTCACCCAAAGTCAGGACATAATAAAACTAAGGACAGCGAATGCCTGCCAATACATGATTGCCCATAGGGAGCAATGGGGAGCATGCTTGCCTTACGAAATAATGAAGAGTACGTCGCTTGCCCATAAGGAATAACGGAGGGCACGCTTGCACAGTACAGAAGGACAACAACAAAGGTTTCTGAAATCGTCCGTGCCAGGCTCGTGTGTTTTCTTTAAGCACAGTTATTTATTTCAGCAAGAAATGGAATTGAGGCTTGCAGGCTAGAAGAAATGCGGAAGGTATAACGGCCTTCACCATTGTACAGAGATCATTCAAGTCAGCCTTTTAGGATCACTATTCCCTTTTTATATACGGACAGCAAGCACGTACCCACAGCGGGCGCGCCCTCGCATTTTTACGGAAATGACTGACGCGTTGCCATTTCCTTGCATATCGTCCTCCTTCCCGGAGGCGGTCAAGGCGGAGAGTAAGGAAAGAAAGTAGATGATTTCCTGGAAGTCGGACTAAACGTCTCCACAGCTGAGTCTTCAGCCACTAGAAAGCAGTACCGGCACTGAGCTGTCGCCTGTTGCTTTTCAGGGCTATGAGGGTTTTTTGCCATGACGATTTCTCAGCATTCCCCTTTTGTTTTGGAAGAACCCACTCCATTCAACAAATGAATTCATGCTGATCCGACTGACCTTGTAAGTATCCCACAAGACATTCTGTTGCCCGAGACAGGAAGTCCCATTGGGATAGAAATATAACAACAATTATAACAATACATCTTAAAATTCCATAGAAAAATTATGAATTCTAAACTCCAAAACAAACAAATAAATAATAAAATTCCTGATACAACAGAGGTGATGATTCTGCTCAAGAAGGTTGACATTTTGAAGGGTATTGTGCTACCTGCATTTGATGGTGTTCAACGGTCTCTTGCTCAACAGAATCTAGGGGTTATACTCAGCCCCACAATACTGCTGGAAAAGCAAGTTAATTCAGCTGCAAAATAAAAAGTTTTCTTCTATCTTCACTTCGTCTGGAGGATAGCTCCCTACTTTGATCCAGCACACTGATTCGCACAATGGTAACCCAATGCCTAGACTACTATAATGCACACTGTGTGGTTGTGCCCTTGAATACACTCATGAACTCCAGCTGGCAAAGAATGTCATGGCTCCCCGTTAGGAGCTTAGGAGGAGTATGGATATTACACCTACTCTGGAGCCACTACATTAATTATTGATTAGTGTCCGTGTAGAATTCAGGGTACTGATTGTCACCTACAAAGCCCTTCATGGCCTAGGACTTGCATATCTGCAGGAGCGCCACTGCTGATCTACTTCACTGTGGAAGCTCTGCTCATCAGAGCAACGCCGTCTGAGTCACCATCCTGCCAATGGGTAAGATCAACAACGGCTTTCCATCCCTGAGTGTTCTCTGTTGTGGCTCCCATCTGGTGGAATGGGCTGCCTGGGAAGATCAGGCAAGCTCCCAGTCCTGTCATTCCATAGAATGTGTGAAAGGGAACTGCTCAGGAGGACATTTGTATAAAGTGAATTGGGCTGCAGTTAATGTCTGTGGAATTTAAAGCAGTGTTCACTGTGTATATTGCACCATAGTTTTCCCTCGGATGACCGTGGCCCCGCCCCCAGCGTGCCCGGCGTCACTTCCTGGTGACGCACACGCCGGGGTGGGATTCCCCCTGGGGACTTGGCAGCCCTAATCTGTCTAGTAAGTCGAAATGCAATGGGAACCTAGGATCTTCCTTACAGATCCTCATGGGAAAAGAGTAGTGGGTAACCAAATCGTTTTGTGTATCATAAGCTAACTTCCTAAAAGGGTTGTGGCTTGGATCCTAGGAACAAGTTCCATGCATATTAGACATCCTCTGCAGCAGAGCTCACTTCCTCTTCTACTAGCCCTTCCATTTATGCAAGGGTTTATTGAAAACCACTGATCTTGTGCAAAAGGAAGTGCTAGTGCTAGTGGAAGAGAATGCACACTCCACGGCACAGGCTGCCTGGCATGCATGGAACTTTTTTCACAGGATCCAAGCCGGTGTGATTAACAGGGCAATTCTGAGCAGGTCTTCTTAAAATCCTACCCAGGTAGTTTCAGGGGGGCTTACTCCCAGGAAAGTGTCCTCAGGATTGCACTATTTGGATCCATTCCAGCATCCCATTGAGTTCACACAGTGTGCTGGAAGTACTCCGGGTCCCTGGTTAGGGATAGCCCAGTCTATAACTTCTCCAGTCCTCCACCAAGGAAGTCCATACTCTTCTTACTTATTTGTTTCCGTGTCAAAGTTTAGGCTCCCTTTGCCCAATGACATGCTCAAGTATTCTGTGACCACTGGCCAGAGCTTCCAGCATTGTTATTTTTCATTTTTGAACATATCCACAGGGAAGTGATGATTTTGACAGGGACCACAGTACAAGGAGGATTTAAGCCACACACCCCACCATTTTCCCTATCGGGCCCCAGAAAGTCACTATTTGCCCCTCTAGGGCAAACATTACAGATACTCTCATGTCTTCCAGAGGGAGGATTTATGACATGGATTCTCAGGTTCTTTCAACTTTTGTTCTTTTTTTCATCTCTGATTAAAAAAGAACCCAAACACCTGTGGGTAATTGTGTGTCTTGTTTTTTGCTTAAATGTTTTCAGTTCCAGGTTTTCTTTGTTCTATTTTGTGAAAGGAACTATCCATGCAGGAGAGAAAGACCATCACTCTTTTCCCTGATGGATCTACCTAAAACAGCCTGGTCTGACCTGATCACTTGCCGGCACAGGTGTGTGTGTAAACACAAATGGAAAAGAGAAGTGGAGAAGAACTGACAAAAAGGGTGGAATGCAATAAGCTGCAATTGTGAGCTGGTCTTTTAAATGGTTTCACACCAGTCTGTTATTCATGTCCCCGTCCCCCGCAAAGAAAATCTGATGTATTTGTCTGAAGGTATTCAAAGCCAGCTTCCAGGAGGCCTCACAGAGGAAAGAAGTTTCCAGCAGGGCGCCATAGATACCTGGGAGTATTCGTCTGGATCTCAAATACCAAATCATTCTATTCCACTGTCTCACCCAATGAATAACCTCCCACCACGGAATCACACACACAACTTGTATTCATTTAAAAAACATCCAAAATGCATGCCTAAGATTATTCCACAGACACAGTTAGTCACCAAAATACAGAATTGCCAAAAGATGCGTGTTTCTCAATTTAAAAAATATATATATTTTGGGGAACACTGGCAAAATAGTCTAATGAAATAGGAAGAGGACTGTGGGAACACACCAGCAGAGAAGAGGAGCAAGAAAGGCCATTAGAACAGAGGTCCTGCAGGCTGCAGAATTAAGACTGACTGGTCATTATGTCATCTGCATCACAAAGACAACCTCGTTGTGCATTTAGCGCATCTTCCTCATTCCTTTCCCTTGGTTTTCTGTTCAGTTGGACCACTGAATAATATTCAGAGTGGAGGCTGGCACCAAAGTGGGAACGGCTGAAGCAGCAAAGGGGGGGGGGGTTTGTCACAAATGATAAGTGCTTGTTTTCAGTGTACTTAAATAGCATATCTCATGTACGTTACTGAGCAACTAGGGATCTGTTATTTCATTTCTTGTTTTGTGCTTTATTTGCATTTTCTGCCCCATGGACTGAAATGGGTTGGCCCTATCAAAATATCTGCTATGATCTGGCAAGCAAAGGGAGTGGAAAAGTCTTCTCCTCAACCTCTTTCACTGTCATAGGCCAATATGGGCCTCTTCGCTTGTCATCAGATCAGATCACGGTATCTTCCAGCAATGGCCAGAACAAAGAAGAGGGGTTTTTTTTAACTGAATAGCTGTTCTTTTGCTTTTGCTTTTCCACAACAAGGACTAGTGGCATATTTCTTATAAAGCGTATGGACTTGGTAATGCCCTACCTGAGCACCAATGGAAAGGCTGATCTATGGGAAATATTAAAACAGACAAATAACAAAAAGCACCGTGGGCCCCATGCTCAGAACTTCTGTCCCCAAACAGAGATCAAAATTATTTCCTGTAGCAAGTTACTAGACACCAGGGAAACTGATGAAATAGCACAGATGGCTATTCCTGCCCTGCGACAATCAACTGTTCCCACCCTCTCTGGGTTCTTCCCATAAATCGTGCCTGCATTTACTCCCCCTCAGTAGAAAAGGGACATCTTCCCACAGCTTTCCAATGTGGGTGGCAAAGTGGGTGTTTGGGAGAAGACCATCTCTGGCTCCATGTTCTGATTTTTTGGGGGTGCCCTAGGAATGGTGTTGTTTCATCGTCTTCACAGCCTCATCTCCCTTCAAGATCTTGAATGAGGAACTTATTCTTGGCCTTT